TTCCTCCCATGAAAAAACAAAAAGCAAACAGACAACATACACTTTAGCAGTACAATCTCAATTCTTTGCTCTTTAAAGTAGAACTCCTTTATTTTTTATTTATTTATTAGTTTTTACTTAAATTCCAGTTAGTTAACATACAGTGTAATATTAGTTTCAGGTGTACAATTTAGTGATTCAAGACTTCCATACATCACCCAGTGCTCATCACAGCAAGTGCACTCCTTAATCCCTATCACCTATTCAACCCATCCCCACCCACCCCCACCTACTCCCTGGTAACCATCAGTTTTGTTTTGGTTTTTTTTTTTCCCAAAGATTTTATTTATTTATTTCTGAGAGACAGAGAGGAGAGAGCGAACACAAGTCACAGGGTATGGGAGCGGGGGAGAGGCAGAGGAAGAGAGAGAAGCAGAATCCCTGCTTATTAACAGGGAGCCTGACACAGGCCCCATCCCCAGGACCCTGAGATCATGACCTGAGCTGAAGGCAGATGCTTAACTGGCTGAGCCGCCCAGGCGCCCCCATCAGTTTGTTCTTTATAGTTAAGAGTGTTTCTTGGTTTGCCTCTCCCCTTTTCCCACCCCCCGCATGATCATTTGTTTTGTTTCTTAAATTCCACATGAGTGAAATCATATATTTGTCTTTCTCTGACTGACTTATGTTGTAAAGCAGAACTCCTTCAAAAACACTTTCTATATTTACTGTCTCTGATATTTCTCCTGTTTTTCCAATCACTCTTGTACTCACAATACTCCAATAAAGTTGTTTTCATGCAGGTCATCAACGACTTCACTTTGCTAAATGCAAAGGCGAATTATCAGTCCTCATCTCTTGGAGAATACAAATACAGGTCAGTATCTCACACAGTGGACTACAGCCATCTTCCTATAAAACTATCTGGGCTTATCTCCTACTTCACTGGCTGCTGCTTATCAGGCTGTTTTGCTGGTTATTTCTCATTTCATCATTCCCTGAATCTTCTCATTTATTCTCTCTCCTTAGGTAACTCATCCAGTCTCATGATTTTAAATACCATCTATAAACTGATGACTCTCATATTTACAACTTCATCTAGATCTGTTCATTAAACTCCAACTCCTTGACACCTGCACTTGGATGTCTGACACCGTAAACTTTATTTGGTCAGAACTGTACTCCAGATCTTCAAGAAATAAGCCTCCCAGAGTCTTACCCATTCCAAGTAAATTTGTTGAAGCCAAAAACCTTGAATCATCCTTTCTTTCTCTTATACTCTATAAATAATTTGCCAGTAAATCTGTCAGCTTTGCCTTTAAAATATATCCAGAATATTACCACTTCTCCCTGCTATCTTCACTGCTCCCCCAGGTTCAGAGAGCCATAGTATTTTCTAATTGGAGTGTTTATATAGTCACCTCCTAAATGTTTTTCCCTGCTTCTGCCCTTATGTCCCTAAAATCTAGTCTCAGTACACCTAAGTCAGAGAGAATCTTTTAGAATAAGTATGCTAATGTCCCCTGCCCCCCAGGCCCCCAATCCCTAGTAACCACTATTTTACTCTGTTTTTCTAAGTTCGGCCTTTTCAGATTCCACAAGTAAGTGACATCATACAGTATTTGTCTCTCTCTGTCTGACTTGGGATGGGGGGACAGGACAGATGTTGTTTAAGGGTACAAACTTACAAGTAGTAAGTCCTGGAGATCTAATGTATAGTATAGTGAATATGGACAACAATATTGTATGACAATCATCAAACTTGCTAAGACTCTAGAACTTAATTATTCCAACCATTAAAATTAAGAAATGATAATTACGCAATGTGATGGGGTACTAATTATCACTACAATGGCAATCATATTATATGTCTCATATCAACATGCTGTACACAGTATTATATGTCAAATATATTTCAATTAAGAAAGAATAATGGCCTGTGCTAATGTCCTTACAAAGGACTTACAGGCCCTAAATGATCTGCAACACGCTCCATCCATCCTACAGCATTTCTGACTCAGCCCCCCATACTTATAGTCACAGTGACCTCACACTCATGAATGCTCTCACCTCAGGACATTTCTTGCTGTTCTCTCTGCTGGTAATGCTCTTCTTTCAGAGGCTCACGAAGTTGGTGGTCCCTCCTTTAGGTCCTTGATCAAGTGCCAACTTCTTAGTGAGAGCTTCCCTGACCACCCTACGCAACACTGCAACCTACACTGCACACTCACTAATCCTCTTCCTTGACTTTTGCTCCACAGCATGTATCACTACCTGGCCTCTCCACCCGGCAGAAGCAAATCCAAACCTTCTATAGAGAAATTCTTCAGAGAATTCCCACACACACTTTTCCAAGGAAAATGAGGAGCTCAAGGTAAAAAACAGCCAAGTATATAAGGAAAAAGAGCACTACAAAAGAGGGCCAATAGAAATCGAGAGCAGAGACACATCTGGAGAGACTTTAGATGAGCTGGAGAAATAATTATTGAACTAAAACAGGAGAAATTATTCACAACACAGCACAAAGAGATAAAGAGATGGAAAAAAGAATATAAGGAACCTGAGGGACTGATAGAAGGGCTAATATATATTTAAGTGGAGATCCAGGAGGAAAGGCAGTATCTGAAAAAATTATGGCTGACAATTCCCAGAACTGCTGAAAAGCACCAATCTTACGATTCAAGAAAATCAATAGTCTACACAGTTTAAATAGAAATCTATAATCAGATGGTTCATAGTATAGAACGTCAAATTAAAGAGAAATTTTAAAGCAGGAAAAAAAATTCTTTCAAAAGAGTACTGCTATTCTCAGCAGTAATAATGGAAATCAGTAGACAGTAGAATGGTAGCCTCGATGTCCTGGGCATTCTACTCCCAGAGAAAGTGTCTTTCAAGGTTGAGGGCAAAATGAAGACATTTTAAGACAAGTAAATACTGGGAGAGCTTACCACCATAGACCCTCACTAAAGGACTTTCCAAAGACAGAAGAAAAAGTATCCCAGAGAGAAAGCCTGAGATGCAAGAAGAGCAAAAAGAGTGGAAGGAACCAGTTTACATTCTAAATAGAGAATGCCTGTTGATCTCTACATCCTTAGATTACATTTTTACCGGTTTAGAAGTTGTAGTTTTAATTTCTATTTCCTTGATTACTAAAGAAGTTGAACATTTTTTTTTTTTTTTGAACATCCTTTTAATGTGTTTATTGACCATTTGGATTTCCTTTTTTGTGACATGGCTATTCAAGTCTTATTTTTCTATTGATTTGTAGTCATTCTTTGTATATTCTGGATACTTGTACTTTATTGGCCATTGGCATTCTATATAAATTTCAGAAGCAGCTGATCAAGTTTCACTTTTAAAAAAAGTTGATAATTTCATTGGGATTCCATTGAATGGAAAAATCAGTTTGTAACAAGTTGATATTTTTACACTGTTAAGTCTTTTTTTTTTTTTTAAGATTTTATTTGTTTTTTTGACAGAGACACAGCAAGAGAGGGAACACAAGCAGGGGGAGTGGGAGAGGGAGAGAGAGAAGCAGGCTTCCTGCAGAGCAGGGGCTCAATCCTAGGACACTGGGATCATGACCTGAGCCGAAGGCAGACGCTTAACAACTGAGCCACCCAGGCGCCCCAACACTGTTAAGTCTTCTAATGCATGAACATGCTATATCTTTTCATTTCTTTAGATCTCTGTACTGCATCTTTTGCCTTTATCTCTTTTGTCTGATGTTAATGTAGCTACTTCAGTTTTCTCCTGGATGTGTCTATGTGATAGATTATTATCGTTTTAGGGGCACCTGGGTGGCTCAGTCGGTTAAACATCTGCCTTCGGCTCAGGTCATGGTCTCGGGGTCCTGGGATCAAGCCCCACATCAGACTTCCTGCTTGGCAGGGAGTCTGCTCCCTCTGCGTCTCCCCCCGCTCATGCTCTCTCTCTTTCTCTCAAATAAATAAAATCTTAAAAAAGAGAAAAAGATTATCATCGTTTTACTTTGTCTTTCTTTAATGCATCTTTTTTTTTCTTAAAGTTTTTTTTTTTTTAAATCTGAAAGATTTTTTTTTTAGAGACAGCAAGAGAGGGAACACAAGTAGGGGAAGTGGAGAGGGAGAAGCAGGCTTCCTGCCGAGCAGGGAGCCCGATGTGGGGCTCGATCGCAGGACCCTGGGATCATGACCTGAGCTGAAGGCAGACACTTAGTGACTGAGCCACCCAGGTACCCCTCTTTAATGCATCTATGTTTCAGTTTTGTCCTATGTCAGTTCTGCTGCAAAGACCTTACAATACACTGCTCATTTATATTCCTCTAAACTTATGCATTGTTATCATGTGTCTTAATTCTGTCTTGTCAAACAATTTTGTTGTTTTAGTAATTCATGATCGTTGGGACCTTCCACTCTTTTTGCTCTTCTTGCATCTCAGGCTTTCTCTCTGGGATACTTTTTCTTCTGTCTTTGGAAAGTCCTTTAGTGAGGGTCTATGGTGGTAAGCTCTCCCAGTATTTACTTGTCTTAAAATGTCTTCATTTTGCCCTCAACCTTGAAAGACACTTTCTCTGGGAGTAGAATGCCCAGGACATCGAGGCTACCATTCTACTGTCTACTGATTTCCATTATTACTGCTGAGAATAGCAGTACTCTTTTGAAAGAGCACTTTCTCCCTAATAAATCACAGTCAACACCAACTGTTCTCCCTGAAGTGAGTAAAGGAGACTGAAATTAAATAAATGATTTCACTGGGCTTCTCAATCAGCCTTAGTGCTGCTATGGGAAAATTCACAAGAAATTGAGAGGCAAGTCTAACTCACTAAAAGAACCTGAAACATGAAAGGATAAAAGTTTTATGTATTTACTTTGCCACTTGAAAAAACAACATCTGCCACAAATATCAACAATACCCTTAAATTTTTTTCATATTCAAACATTTAAAAGATGACAAAGATGATACAAAAATGTGAAGTAAAATGATTTTTTACAATGTTGCATTATTTTTCTCTATAAAATATTAATGTTCAAAGTTCTACATACCTGAATGTTTTCCCTACTCCAAGTGTGTGGTGTTTTATTGGCAAGTAATTTCAGATCTTGAATAGTAAGTCTCTTTACTGCTTTCCTAGGGTCATTCTTCAAATACTGCAATAGAAGCTGAATCTATGAAAGAAGTCATTCGTGAACAATACTGTCACGGAAATTATCACGTGTAGTATAATTTAGTCCAATTTTTAGATTTGAGACAGAACTCACTTCCAGTTGCAGCCCAGTCACTTAACAGCTATGTGTTCATGTTTGGGCCACTTTGTCATTCACAAAAATATACTTATCCCTTAACTTGTAAGGTTCTAGCGTGGGACCCGGCTCTGAATATTCAACTCTTTCTTTTCTCTCCTGCCAACCCCATACTGCCATGTACCCCCACCTCCACGCCATGTTCCTAAAAGGCTCCCAAGAATTAGGACTGTGAATACAGAAAAGAAAAAAGCAGGCAAAAGGAAATGAAAGTGATCTTTATCCAAGAAGGGACCTTAATATCATCAAAGCTTATGATTATTTATTTTTTTTAGTTTATACTTAATATGCAAGTTTACTGAAAAAAAGGCAGTTTAAAGAAAATTGAAATTACCTGCTTAGGTGTATCAACCAAAGATGAAGCTGCAAGCAAAGTAAAGGTGTGCAAAGAAACAATCACCATTTTGGTGGAGGGGTAGGATGTGACCAGCTGCTGTAAAAGCTGCCGTGCGCTGGACGCCAGGATCGCATCATGATGCATGTGCTGGAGGATGGGGATTAACTTCAGTTTCAAGTCCACTGGCGTGGCTAAACCTGGACACAAAAGGAATCGTTAGGGACAGATTTCTGATGGTCATCCTTGATAATATTTCACATTTAAAAGTAATTCAATTAGGGCGCCTGGGTGGCTCAGTTGGTTAAGCATCTGCCTTCGGCTTAGGTCGTGATCCCAGGGGCCTGGGATCAAGCCCCGCATCAGGCTCCCTGCTCGGCAGGAAGTCTACCTTTCCCCCCCTGCTCATGATCTCTCTCTCTCACTTTCTTTCAAATAAATAAACAAAATCTTTTAAAAAAAAGTGATTCAATTAGCAAAATGACCATTTAAAAACAAATAGTATGCTAATGTTATATTTATGACATTAAAGATAATTATACTAGAGCTAACCCAATTAAATTCTTTTTTTTTTTTTTCCAAAAGCATTTATCTTAATGGTTTTTCGGTGAGTATAAAGCTACATGCTGACAGTAGAAAATGCCTTTAAAAGGCACAGTAGAAAGCAAAGTTGTATTTGCTATCTATTCTTTCTCACAACATGCTAAAAAGATATATAAATTACAGGTACACATACACCTATGTACGCACATACTCAATGGCTACAATTTAATTATATTTACAATTTTAATTCCTTCAACATTAAGTCAAGATCTGGATGTGAATAGACTGTATGTGGAGGGGTTCTGAAGTTTTCTGAACTTTGGGTAGCAGTGCCTTTTTTTTTACTGCCTACACAGCTGGAACTCCATGAGGATTAACTCCAATGCATCTTCTGCTGTCAACACTGGAGCTACACAAACAAAATCTTTTCTTCTACAGCATGGCTTTGTGATGACAGAGAACAAAAAAACTGTCAATCATAATTTACTGCATATATGCCAAAAGCTAATTTATACTCTGCAGAGCACTGTTTCGCCATTGTGAAGTAACTGTTAGTGTTAAAATATGAGAAGATTTCAACATCCAGGGGTGGCTTACATCAACAAACTGCCTTGCTATTGGGCCTCTATTTAAGTCTGGCCAAAGCAGAGAGCCCCAGGAGATGAGAGGGAGAAAAATGAGGTCAGAGTATTGACTCCCTCGTTTTCTCTCTGCAGTCATACATATCATGCTTATGTTATTAATATTTTGATCCTTAAGGTCCCAAATGCATCTGACACTGCTAACCATTCTGTCTTTGAAACTCTCTCCCAAAGGCATACTCCTCCTGGTTTTTGTCCTTCCTCTGGCTGGTCCTTCTCAATCTCTTCATATTCATCTGTGTTACCCACACTTTAATTTCTGGTATTCCTTGGGGTTGGTAATAAATGGTAATAAACTTTCTTCTCACCCTCAATCCCTTTCCTGAGTGAGGTGACATAATCCCATGGCTTCCATCATCAGCTATATGCTCAAGACCACCTCCTACCCCTCCACCCTGCCCCTGAACTTCAGATAACATAAATCCCATTACCTCCTGGTCACCTCCACTGGGATGTACAGTTAGAAGAGTCTGTACTTAGGGCCAAAGGGAGCTTCTGATCTTCACCACAAACCCGCCCCTCTAAAAATTTTTCCCATTTCAGTACATCACAGCCTCATCATTACAACTCCTCAGACCTTGGAGTCTTTCTTGACTCCCTTACTTCTCTCATACCCCACATCCAAATGTATTAGCAAATCCTTCAGGTTCTATCTTTAAAATATAACCCAAATCCGACTATGCCATTCTGCTCCATTGCTATCACCCTGGTCCACTTCCACCACCATCTCTAGACTGGATTATTACAAAAGTCTCCTAAGTATTCTCCCTAGTAGGCTTTTCCCCATGGGAGACTCCTGTCTCCTATCCCTCCCCTCTTCCTCTGTAAATCTGTGCTCCACCCAGCAGTCCACGGAATTCCTTGTGTTTACAGACATTTTTACTGGTTTAGAGACACTCAAGAGGTTTTACTTGGCAGAAACACAAGCATCCTACTTTATTCCTCCAACTCCCCGCCATGCCCGTATCCTGGGCTCCAGCCTTCCTCCCCTTGCCCTCACTGCCACCCTTGTGCTTTATTCCCCCTCTTTCTCTTTCAACCCCCTAATTCCTGTTCTTTTGCTTTAAATCTTTTTATAGATAAAACTTAAGAAACAATAATGAATCTTAGGTGTATAAATTAATAGGTTTCTACATATCGGTCTACTCAAATAACCGTCACCCAATATACACAATACTCCAGCACCTTAGGAGACTTACCTATATGGCTTCCATCAGTTCCCTTGCTATTTGCCCACTGTTTGGGGTTAGCCAGTGAAGAGCCCCAGCAGGGGATGGGAGGGAGAAGAAAGAGGTCAGAGTATTTATTCCCTGGATCCCTCTCTACAGGGTCACATCGGGTCATATCACACTGAAGGTCAGTTTTTCAAAGTGGCCCTTTTGACATGACTCCAGGTTTCTGGTAACCACTGCCTCTCCGCACCTTTGGGTACAGGACTACATTATCCCCTACTGTTTGCCCTGCCTACACCTTTGGAACTGTTCCTTTCCTCAACCCTCCCTGGATTATTTTAATTCGAGCATGACATCTATTTCCTGATGCAGTCTTGTCTGACAGAGCCAGGGTTCAATAAAAACTGCTCAATGAATGAGGGATGATGCTTCCTTTTAAGGACAGCTTTCTGCAGGAGAGCCCTTTTCTGGCAGTGGGGAAAAAAAAGGACAAAGGAAAGGAGGACGGGACAAAGCTCAACCACTGTATCGTGGTCTTCAAGTAATTTTAATGTGGCTCCATTTCCTCTTCTGTAAAATAGACATAAGAGTATTGCCTAGCCGAGTCGGCCAAGTTGCACAATTCACAGGAATGCCACGTGGAAAAATACAAAGAAGGTGGTGCTCTCCGAGCTGTGTAGTGCTAGAGCCCCAGGCCCCCTTTAGTGACTGGGATGGGAGTAAGTGAGGCCAGCACACATGAAGCAGAGCATGGAAGATGAGTTTCGAAAAGCAGGACCTTGAAGGCTATGGTAAGGAATTTGGATCTGAGTTTAGCTGCAACTGGAAGACACTGGAGGAACATTAACAGAACATGGAGAGAGCCTCAGAGTTTCTGACAGCCCTCTGCTCTCCCAGATCAGAGTGCTCTTCCCCTAAATAACTGTAGTTCTCACACAAATATCACTTTGTTAGAGGCCGTCCTTCAATATATACAAAATATAAAGCGCCCCCTTCCCCCGTGGGAGCAAACTACTCCGGGAACTCTTATCCTTCTTACCTCACTTTTTCTCCATAGCAACTGTTATATATCATACTTGTATTTGTCTATGGCCACCTCTCCCCCATTTCTGTCACTAGGATGTAGGTTGCACGAGGGCAAGGACCCGGTTTTGTTCACTACTGTATCCTAAGCACCCAGAACAGTGTGGGGCGTTTAGAAGATGCTTAACAAACATTATTTGAATGAATTAGTGAATGAATGGTGACAAGCACATAGTAAGTACTTAATGTTAAGAGCTATTAATATTAATATAAATCCCAGTAAGTCACTTCATAATACTGAATGAAGCATACATACCTTGAATCATTTCACTGATTTTGTTACAGATTCCTACAGCAAAATCCCTTTGGAAAGAGAGAACAGCAAAAACTTTAAAACCAAAAAAATTACATTTGCTTAAGTTTCCTAAGGACATAAACAGAGCACAATCAACACGGGAGAAACATAATACTTCAAATCGTAACTAATACTCCAAACGTCAGGTAGTGGGGGTGGGGTAAGAAATGCAACTGAAACCGAAATTCCCACCAGCAAATGGGCTTATGCCAAGACTGCTTCCAAGCGGTATTCAAGGCAAGATGTTCTGATTTATGGGTGCTGTTGCAGTTTGCATCACTGAGTGCCACTGTCTAAAAGATTCAAGGTCATTATCTCAGTCTACAATATTTTAGGATGTGCTTTTAATTAAGAAAAGCTTTTAACACCGTAAGCTGATTATATAAGCAATAAAATATATTTCGAATATTCTAAATTTAAGAAAAATAGACTAAGGATGAAGTAGAAAAGCCAAGTAGGAAATATGGGCAGAATATTACCAAAAGCCAAACTATTTAAAGTTGGCCATTGTTTTTTTATATTATATACATTTAAAGTGTTTTCCAAGGTGCTGCTTTTGATTCGGTCCCAATAAATATATCACTGAGTGCTGCAAAAGTTATTAATAACATGAACATTTGGGATAAGACATTACATCACATGTAAGGAAATATAATACAGATAATATGATCACGCTTGGCTCACTTAGCCACAATGAATGATATGTAAGATATGAGATACTTCCCCTCTGTAGTTCAATGGATGTCTACATAAAATATTTCCTGCCATTAAGGTATTTGACATTTTCAATTCCATTCTCATAAGCGAATAGCATAGTTTTCCAGAGGCTATATGATGTATAATAACATCACCTCTTGACAGCTGTGCATTCTTGTGTTTCCTAGAATTTTCTAAGGTAGTAGGTTCAGGTTTAGTGTACAAATATGTTTTCTGAGATTAACTCAGTTCTCAATTCTTCTCCTGTGCTTTTACTATATTTGATTATATCTATTACTAACCCTATAACATCATTATCATCCAACACATCGTTTTGGAATCCTGAAGTTTTCCTTATGCTTATAGAGAAACATATCAGGAAGTACACATTGCCATACTTTGCAATAAGATTTTGAAAGATTTTTCTAAAATTTTATCTAAAATTGTTTTAGAATTTAACAATATTTTATTCCAAAATACAATAAAGTTTATTTGCAAAGCATTTTTTTTTAAAGATTTTATTTTTTTTTTATTTGAGAGAGAGAGAATGAGAGATAGAGAGCACGAGAGGGAAGAGGGTCAGAGGGAGAAGCAGACTCCCTGCTGAGCAGGGAGCCCGACGTGGGACTCGATCCCGGGACTCCAGGATCATGACCTGAGCCAAAGGCAGTCGCTTAACCAACTGAGCCACCCAGGCGCCCTGCAAAGCATTTTTTTATACTTAAAAATGAATCACTGGCTTGACAAAGAGATTAGAAGACTCATTTTCTCAACCCACAGTTGTACCGTCTAGGTCTAAAGATGCTGAGAAACGTAAAACTGACATATCAGAGAGTTTTCTAATTCATGGAAGAATCTATTCTAAAGAAAAGCAAAACCATAAATAAAAAAAATATGACTAAAGCTATCCTTCGATTTTTCAGATGTTAATAATTTAACTTATTGTGCCTTATGAAATAAGACATTTCAGAAAGTATTATGGTACCAGTTAACTTGAGGTTTCGTTTCAAGACTAATTATTGAGAATTAAAAAAAAAAAGACTGAGTATTTTAAATGTGCTCTTTAAAAGCAAACTATTGATTTTTAAACTAGAAATAACAGGGTAAGTTATCGTAACGCACTGGCTGGAGAAATGCACATAACAGCTAAGAAACGTCTGCAGCTGACAATGCTGAATACCTGGATGAAAAGTCAGTGCAAGACATCAAGCACTGCCACTTTTCAACACTGGAATAACTTATCACATAAAAAAAGATTTAGCTGCAAACATGAAGACTGAGTTAATAGTTCAACTGCAGAATTTTACCTCTACCTCACAAATGGAAAATCTACAGACATGGCTAGATGTGCTCTTTTGCTTGTATCAGCATCACCTAATCAGAAAACATCATCTTTTATGTGAATTCTCGGCAATAAACCGTATTTGTGCTGAAAATTTCAAAGTAATTTTTTTTTTTAAATCTCATGATTTTCCTGGAACACCAATGTTGCTATCTTCACCACTGGTACCAAAGCAATGAGCAAAACTGCTGGTACCTTAGCAAGAACCAAGGCAGTGTCACCAACTGTCCCAGCAGTGACTGTATTCTCCACCCCTGTGCGCTCACATTAAACGGAAAGAAAGGAAGTAAGGAAGCCAGATGCACTTACAAATGTCCTTGATAAAACAGTGAAAATTACTAATTCTATTGAATTTCAACCCATGGGCAAGTATCTTTTTCATATTCTCTGACAAAACAGAAGCCACACATAAGTACACAGCAGTTGTCTCCAGGAAAAGTACCACTTAATTATTTGAGTTATGAGATGAACTAGACATTTTTTCATGAAACTTCATGGTTACTCAGACTTGGCTATCTGGCAGACATTTTCTCAAAAGATGAATAAATTGTCAATTCATGGAAAATAACTGGGCAAATATTTTTGCCAATCTGAGTTTCTAAGCAAAAATTAGAATTTCGGAAAACTTGTATCTACCGCCATGAACTTGACAACTTAATATTTAAAGAATTTCCGGATGAGATCAATGGCCAGTAACAAATGTGAACCTTTGATATGATACAATGAAATGGGTCAACATTTGGAAGACCTGCATAATGCAGTGAACCAATGTTTTCAAAAACGCCAACACATTAATCATAAAACCATACATGGGTAAGAGATTCCAACAGATTTCAATGTAATATAGTACAAGTTCACTGATACGATTTTAGAGTCCACATTGCAATTAACCTTTAAGAAACCACCACTTGTCTAGTTTTGTATAACATCAAAGAAAAATACTCATAACTACCTATAAAGCCTTTAAAAATATTCTTCTCTTTTCCAACTGTATATCTGTGTGAGGCTGGATTTGTTTCATATACTTTATGGTAACATATTGCAACAAAAATGTTGAATACAGAAACAGATATAAGAATCCAGCCAGACATGAAAGAGATTTGCAAAAATGTAAAAAAAAAACCAATGCTACTCATCTCACAAAATTGTTTTGTTTTGGAAAACAACTATTTTCACAGAAGTATTTTTACATTAACATATTTAGAGAATTGTTATTTTAAAAATGAACACGTATTTTTAAAATTTAGCCATTTAAATTTCTAATATTGTAAATATCAATCGATATAGTCCATGTAAACAAAAAAAGCTCTTTGAGGACCTCAATAATGCTTGAGAAGTGTAAAGATACCAAATAATCTGAAAACTACTTTTCTAAGATACCAGCCTCACATTTGAAAAGAAAAAGTTAAGTTACAAATGTCTTTTAGGTGTAAGATAAGAGGTGTATCGGGCATGTATAGACAACTCATTCACATATCAGAGTGCTCTTATAGTTGTTATTCTTTCTTATTCTTCCTCTAACTTGCTACCTCTTCATCACTTGGTTTCAGCTCAAATGTCACCTCGTTAGAGAGGCCTTCCCTGATCACTCTACTTAAAGCAGCTCACTCAGGTCATTATCACAATGATGAAACTATATTATTTTTATCACAAAATTGTTTTATTTTTCCATAACATTAACACACATCTGAAACTATTTTGTGTCTACACAACAATAGGGCTTTTATCTTCTCTACCCCTGTATTCCTTGGTGCTGAGAATACGATCTGGACATGGTGGATATTCAATAAGCATTTCTTCAGTAACTATATAACTTAATACAACTCAAAATTTAAAAATCTGTTATGGGCCTTTAGGGCCAATAAAGTGCAAATTAGAAGCCTGTAGTTTTCTTTCTTTCTGTTTTTTTTTTGCTAATAATATTTTTTAAAATTCTTAATGTCAATATTAAGAATGTATGTTAATATAGAGTCTCATATGGTAATAAGACTATAAACAGAATAATCAGATTTTCCAGCTTCCATCCATTCCACCCCTGCCCCCTCCAAAAAAGTCAGATCTGACAGCATTGGGCATACATTCCTGCACTGTCAATCATCTGGGGCCAAGGAGTAAGCAGCCACCACTTTTAGGCTGCGAGTGTGCTGTTCAGTTCGGCACAGTGGCCACTAGAGGGCACCTCTCTCACTAACAATGCTTCCCCAGTTTCTGAAGGTATTTGGGTTTCCAACTCCTGCTTTGTGACCCAGGGACTAGCTCTTTAAATATATAAAATCTTAACCTTTTTAAGAACAAGTTAGATGTGATTATTATAATAGACAAAAGGAGAACAGCATTAAATTCTTAAGGTCTTATTTGGCCAGTTGCTCTAATTTAAGATTCAAAACTGATAGAGAGTATCTAAGACAAAAACCCATCAGAATTGGTTGAGATATTTGATTTCAAGCCAGCTCACCACTTCAGAAGAGGTAAGTGCTAATCTCAAAAAGATACAGTTCATTATACAATTAGTTAATTTTACACTCTGATACATTTTGATAGGCCCTTGAGCCTTTCCTATTGCACAAATTTGGTATTTTTAAATATCACAAATTATATCATACTGAAGCCTGGTATGCTAAAAACTGCTTCTATGTAAACCATTAATTTAAATGTTTATTAGTCAATAAATTTTATAAACAAAGAATCATGTTTCTATGGTACTTAGTTACCCTTTTCCAAAACAGATCAGAAATTCCACAGCTAATAAAATTAGCTTCTGATAATAACATAAGAGAAAACCTGAACCAAAATGATTCTCATTAAAATAAAATATAATCACTAAATTACAAATTTATGATCTGAACTTCGAAACTAAATTTAGAAAACTATTTTTGGAGCTACAGGAAATGCAAGCTTACTCAGATAGATTATAAAGTACTGACACCTTGACAGTGGTAATCAGTTAACTATTCACCAGATACAATTCCTAACCAATAAAAATTTTTAAAAAGTTCTCTCACCAGTAATGACTCTCAGTAAGAAAAAAAATGCCAGTTTTCAAAAGCACAAATAGGACTGTATTTACTCAGATATTTCTCTTCCTCAATTACTGCTACACCTACTAATTTTGAGCAGTACATTAAAGACTACATGCTTTCTATTCTCCATTCTCCTTTTCCAATGAGTAATCCTGGGATTCTGAAGGTTTGATAGGAGCAGCTGAAGACATGAACACGCATATAATTAAAATCTGAAGAAAGAAAGTGGGTGATAAACTGTTCCAAGTTTTACCCAAATTTAGCAGAGATTCTTAATGTAAATGCTATCTTTTTTAATTTTAAAAATAACATTCATCTGATTATAAAGCCCAAACTTGCTCCTGACAGTATAAACAGAAATTTCTAAAAAGGAGAATAAAATACCATCTTATCACCCAGAGACAGTATTTTGATATATATCCTTTGTCTTTTTTGTTTTTCATCAATACAAATACATGTTTCTTAAAAAATATATTCTGTAAAAGCTTATAAGCTATGACATAACCTATTTCCAAATATACTTCTAAAATATATGTTAAAGAGCTCACATAATATTTCACTGTATGATATTTATCTAAGCACATTGGTTGGAAGTTAGGTTGCTACTAATTTGTTTTGTTTTGTTTTTATAACACTACAACTAGCATCCTTGCAAATAAGTATCAGTACACGTTGCTGATTCCTCAGGATAAGTTCTCAGAAGTGGATTTTCTAGGTCCACTTGAGGGGATAAAAGGATGAACATGTTTAAGGCAAATGCATACTACCAAAATGCCCTCCAGAAGGCAATGCTACTTTTGATAAAAGTCAATAAAAGGGATAATTTATATTTTTAGAGAGGGTAACCAAACAAGTCGAAGATAGTAACATAACCATCCATGGTCAGCACTGCATGCAAAACAAAAAAAAAATTGTTCTACAATATAGTAGTGTAGGATATGACATCACAAATAGGCTAGGGGCACCTGGGTGGCTCAGGTGTCAAGCGTCTGCCTTCCGCTCAGGTCATGATCCCAGAGTCCTGGGATCGAGTCCCACATCAGGCTCCCTGATCAGCGGGAAGCCTGCTTCTTCCTCTCCCACTCCCCCTGCTCGTGTTCCCTCTCTTGTTGTGTCTCTTTCTGTCAAATGAATAAATAAAATCTTAAAAAATAAACAAAACAAATAGGCTAAAACTGGTTTCAGCTCAAATTACTACCTTTGCCAAACATACACAGCTCTAATGCCAAAAAGCTAACCTTGACAAGACAGTAAGAAAGCAGCAATTTAGCATTAGAACCACGTATGTTTGGGGAGGGTGCCTCAGTGGACAAAACTTCTGCTCCCCAATGAAGCCCTCCCTAACTATCGTAATCTATGCTGATCAGTGCTTCTGGAAATTCTTATTCCATGTGCAGTTAACGCCAACATACGTACTTAAGCATTCTGTTTTATGTAATGAAGTTCTGTTTCCCCAACACGATGTAAACCCTCTTAGAAAATACACCTTGCCATTTACATTGCTCTCTTAGTGTTTATGTATATTGATGAGTTATTCCTTCAAAACCTCTTCTTGGGAAGACAAATTATTAAAAGGCGGATGCTTACTTTGACTGTGCGGAGAAGTTTGCAGCAGCAAAAACAGCAGCTTCAACTTCTACGTTATCATGTGAGTCCAGACTCTGACGAATACTATGATGAGCATTCTTCCTCTCAGGAATTATTGATGCCAGGCTTCCCAACATCCTATAGAAACAGAGAGATCCAAAAAGAATAGAAATACAGTAAGTTAAAAATCAAGAGAGAAAGAAGAGAGGCAAAGCCAGATTGCCAAAATTAAAATTTGCAGATAATTCCTTAAATCTTGGGTTAGTAAAACATCAACTTTAGGAATCAAGCAGTGATTCAAATTCCAAACATTTTTCTACACTCTGATATGTCAGAAAAATTGACATGGCTTATCTAACATAAGCAAAATTGAAAATTATCATCCTGAAATACCTCCCAGGTACCAAATAGAGCCCAGAAACTTCTGAATTATTAAAGCATCAAAATATCAATTTTCCAATGTTCTAGCAGTCCATTTTAGCAAAACATTTTTGCTATTAAGCAGATCCAGAATGTAAAAAAGGTAAGACTCCCAGTCTTTTTTTCTACATCAGTAAATACTGATACCATGATTTTCAAATCTGTCTTCAGCATCAAGAGAACAGAGGTAGAGGACACTCCCTGGGGCTCATTTCAGAATCTGCAAGGATGAGGAAGGTGGCATCTCGAGAAATGCAATCTACTTTATAATAAATTATAAATTTGGAAAAGGAAAGAAATCCATTGTTTGTAACATAAACTACGTAAGATAAAGCTTGAAAGATTTTTTTCACCAGAAAGGCATGGTTTTTTTTTTTTTAAAGATTTATTTTATTTTATTTATTTAAGAGAGAGAGAATGAGAGCACAAGAGGAAGAGGCTCAGAGGGAGAAGCAGACTCCCCGCCGAGCAGGGAGCCCGATGCGGGACTCGATCCCGGGACTCCAGGATCATGACCTGAGCCGAAGGCAGTCGCTTAACCAACTGAGCCACCCAGGCGCCCAAGCTTAGAAAGGCATGGATTTTTGAAGGCTGTAAAACGCTGCGATAAACAAAACAGAGTTCCTATAGGACAACGTTTCCCAAAGTCAGTGTCCTAAGTAACCTTCCAACTTGACATGTCACCACCTAAGTATCTTATGGAGATTTGATTGGACATAAGTATTAGAGTTTATACCAAACAAAATACTAAAATGGACTACCATATGTCAATTGTATTCAATTTGAAAATAAGGTTTTGAAATTAGAGGAGTTATTTTTCAAAAGAAATAAACAGCTTGTAATATATTTTATATAAGAAAAGATTGGGCTAATATCAACACATTTTGATTAAGTTTGTTACTATTTAAATATAAAAGGGCAAAAAAAGGCATAATGACCCATTGGTCATTACTTTCTGAAAATATTTCTGGTAATATTATAAATAATTTGTAGCACTACATTTCAAACACTATAAATACCTCCCAGCTTCTTCTTCCATTTGTTTCCATTAAGAAGTCTAAAGTAATGGGTAAAAAAAGAAAACATCTTTAAAATGTCATCTCTTCCGTGTCCTTTCTCCTCTTTAAGTTTGAATCATTCTGACTCTAAGAACTCGTGTTTGAGAGACATCACTTTTTGCTTTCCTTCATTAACCTTATTAATACATTCTTCCAGAAAACAAGCTCCTTGAGATCAGAGTTCCCACTTTAATCTATCTTCCTAAAAACACACAACAAACTTTCTATTCAATGGGTACTCAGAGTACTTAATGTTGATCTATCACTTATTAGCTGCATCTTTTCTTTGTAGACTTTGTTTTTCTCCTTAACAGATTCGTTTTTCATCATGCTATTATAATGTTCCTCAATGAAAAATCATGTTCCTATTAAACACTAAGATCTTTCTGTAACACATCTTTTTCTTTACAAAAAAAAAAAAGTATTGTAGTCAAGTATTGCACGATAGAAGGAATGAATACATAATCACTTATATGCTTCATACCTTTTCAAAGACAGATTTTAATAGTCAGGTTCTTTACATTTCTATGGTAACCAAAAACTCTTTTTTTTTTTTTTTTTTTTGCACAAGTTGCATTTTACCATATAGGAAATAAGCGAATCCATTAGGGCAGGTATCACTTTTCTCGCTTTACATCAAGGAAAGCGATTTATGAAATGTCAACTCATCAGAATATGAGTTGGGACCAGAATAGTTCTCCCTACACATCCAGCCAAACTTCTCTTCAGTTGAGCAGGCTACTGCTTCCCAAATGGGATTTCAAAAAGCTGACATCTTTTTTCTTCTTAATTACAAAAGCACTTATATTATTTCTCCCTTTTAAAAGCAGAGTATTTTGAAAATCTCGTAGTTTATATAAACTAAAAGCAATGTACAGTGGTTGGTGACTATCTCAGAAGCACACTCACTTGGTTTCACACCGCCGGCATCTCGGCCGGTCTTGACACTTACCCAGTTCGGAACTCTCTTTATTCTGAGGCATCTATTATCTTAGTTACGGACAGAAAATGTAAGAAACAATAATGTTGAGACGTAACGTAAGGAAGAGCATAAAAATGGCAGTCATTCTGTTCATGGCTTTCAGGCCCTGAAGAAGTTTCTATTTTTAAACATGATTTGTAAAGCATATGTCTGATAAAGGACTGGTATTCCGAATATATCAAGAAATCCTACAATTCGGGCGCCTGGGTGGCTCAGTTGGTTAAGCGACTGCCTTCGGCTCAGGTCATGATCCTGGAGTCCTGGGATCGAGTCCCGCATCGGGCTCCCTGCTCAGCGGGGAGTCTGCTTCTCCCTCTGACCCTCTCCCCTCTCATGCTCTATCTCATTCTCTCTCTCAAATAAATAAATAAAATCTTAAAAAAAAAAAAAAGAAATCCTACAATTCTGTAATAAAGAGTCAAGTAACATAAAATCTAAACAATCTAATGAAAGAAAAGGGGCAAACAATTTGAACAGATCTTTCCAAAAAGAGATAGAAGAACTGTCATCAAAAGATATATGAGAAAGTGATCATTACCATCAGGGAAATGCAAATCAAAACCACTATACACCCCATCAGAATGGCTAAAATGAAGACTGACAACACCAAAGGTTGGCAAAAGGGTGAAGCAACCAGAGCTCACACACTGTTGGTCAGAATATAAAATGGTTAAGGGGCGCCTGGGTGGCTCAGTCGTTAAGCGTCTGCCTTTGGCTCAGGTCATGATCCCAGGGTCCTGGGATTGAGCTCCACATCAGGTTCCCTGATCAGCGGGAAGCATGCTTCTCCCTCTCCCACTCCCCCTGCTGTGTTCCCTCTCTCGCTGTTTCTGTCAAATAAATAAATAAAATCTTTAAAAAAATAATAAAATAAAATGGTTAAAACCACTTTGGAAAAAAGGTCTGGCAGTTTCTTGTAAAATTAAATATATTCCTACCCCATGATTCAGCAATTTCACTCCTACGTATCTATTTGGCAGCAAGGGAAGCGTGTTCACAAGTTTTGTACAAGAAGGTTCACAGCAACTTTATTTACAATAGCCCCAAAGTGGAAACAGCCTAGGTAGTCATCAGTAAGAAAATAAATAAGCTCACACACAACGGAAAACTACTCAGCAATAAAAAGAACCAAATTACTGACACAAAATGGATTAACCTAAAAAACACTGAGTGAAAGAAGCCTTATGCAAAAGGATACCCACTGTATGAGCCCACTTATATGGAGTTTGAAAACAGACAAAAAATTTATATAATGGGAAAAAGTCAGAAGAGCAGTAGCCTCTGGGGAGGTGGATGAAGGAACTGAGTAGAAAGCGCATAAGGGAATGTCCTGGAGTAAGTTCTATATCCTGATAGTGGTTGGAGTAAGTTGAAGCATCTATCAGTACTCAGTAAATTAACTAACATTTAAAGAACCAGATAACCCTGTGGGGCACCTGAGTGGCTCAGTTGATTGAACACCTGACTCTTGATTTAGGCTCAGGTCATGATCTCACGGGTGGTGGGATCCAGCCCTACATGGAGCTCCGGAGTCTGCTTGAGATTCTCTCCCTCTGCCCTTCCCTGCTTGTGTGCGTATGTGTGTGCACTCTTTCTCTCAAATAAAAAATAAATCTTAAACAAAGAAAGAAAGAAACAGATAACCCTATAAACAAACTGAACTCTACCTAATGATACACATGCCAAAGTATCCAGAGGGAAGTGTACTATCTGTAATTTACTATGAAATGCATTAGAAAAAAATTTTTGCTCTACTGTTAAAATTTATAATAAAATATTATTGGGGGAAAAAAGGAACCTACTTTTTACTACATTTAGCCCCAAGTCAAATGTGTGATTTAAAAATTTTTATTGACAAATCATGCTTTTTCTTACATAATTAAGGTAGTAAATGACATGGTGCCTATCACTTTTTTAATGGCAAAATTAGTTTTCTTTATACTTCTTAAAGATTGTGTTTTTAAAACTTTATAATATAATGTTAAATAATACACTAAACTAAAAATACTTTTTTACTTTAAGTCATTTTTTGTATCATGAAAAAACTATGAAATCATGAAAAAAATTTTAAGGCTATTCAAAATGTTCTATTTTTGTGAGAAGGGTTTGATACTCTCATATTGTGTTGATACTAGAATTTTAGACTTGAGTTGTTATAAATATACTTTTTGGGTATTTAATATTTACTTTATAATTCTGCAAACTTCACAAAATGATCTGATCACCCCTTATTCCTGATCTCCAAGCTTTTTCCTCTTCCTAAAGTAACTATTCCAAGAAACACGTTCTTATTTGCCAAAACCATCAAAGGCCTTGTATATCTAAGGATCTTATTAACTGTACTATTTATTTATTTATTAAATTTTATTTTTAAGTAATCTCTACACCAATGCGGGGCTTGAATTTATAACCCCAAGATCAAGAGTCACATGCTCCACCGACGGAGTCAGTCAGGCACCACGTACTATGTTTTAAATGGTAATTGGACTCCTTAACGTTCTTAGCTCAAATTTCTTTTTTTTGTTTTTAAGATTTTATTTATTTGCCAGAGAAAGAAAGAGAGCAAGAGCACAAGCAGAGAGAGCAGCAGACAGAGGGAGAAGCAGACTCCCTGCTGAGCAAGGAGCCTGATGTGGACCGGATCCCAGACCCTGGGATGACCTGAGCTGAAGGCAGATGCCTAATCAAATGGGCCACCCAGGCGCCCCAACTCAAGTTTCTTTTAATATTTTTTGCATCGTGTTAATGTTGGAAAAATATAATTTCAATCTGATTTTTTTTCCTTTAAAGTGCTCTTTCTAAATAAATAAATAAATAAATAAATAAAATTCTGGAAGCTTTCTACAAATCTCTGGTTTTACTGACAGTAACAGTTCTTCAGTTAAGAATTGTGGCAAAGCCCAGTTGTCATGACTTGGAAAGAGCAAGCATGCAAAATGAATGGAATATTCTAATATTAATCAATATTCTTCTCAAAACATTCAAACTAGCTCTAAATTATTTATAAAATCATTCCACTAGTTAAATTCTATTTCTTTTTTTAATTGTCTTCTGATAAAAAAGATAACCTACGCCTGTAGCAAATGATTCAAACATTGCAAAAATCACTCAGAAAACTCTTGTAATCCATAGCTCAATGACCCCTGCCAAAAATAATCAGTTAACAGTATATATTCCTTCAAATTCTTTTCTGAGCCTAAATAAACACATATATTAATATTACAGGTAAAAATGAGTTAAAAAAGTGGACATTACTTGACTACTTGTTTTTTTTAACTTAATATCTCCACTTTTTTAAAAAGATTTATTTATTTATTTCAGAGAGACAGAGCATGGGCAGGAGGGGCAGAGGGAGAGAATCTGAAGTAGAATCTGCGCTGAGCACAGAGCCTGAAGCGGGGAGCCTGAGCGGGGCTCGATCTCATCACAACCTGAGCTGAAACCAAGAGTCAGATGCTCAACTGACTGTGCCACCCAGGTGCCCCTTAATATCTCTATGTTAAACACACATTTCATTCTTTAAAAGTTATATAGTGGTCCCTAAATTATTCCCACATTGACACATGATTTCCCCCAATTTTTCACTTTTTACAAAGATAATACTATGATCATCTGTATACATATATTCACCAACTTTTAAAAATGATTTACAGAAAAAAATTCCTGTAAGTGAATTTGCTGAATCAAAAGGTAAGATTATCTTAAATTTAATTCTCTTCTATATATATAGTTTTTAAAAGATAAAACCAATTAACTGATTTTAAAATACCACACTCTGCTCATAATTTAATCACTCAAAAGGCAGAGGAATGGCAAAAGCACTTAATTCTGAACAAGAGGAAAGAACTGGCTCCTAATGGAAAAATGAGAGAAGTGACATCCTAGACTTCATGGTTAAAAAGAGGGCTCACTTCTGAACAAGGCAAGTCAGAAGTGAGCCCTATAATTTAGGAAAGTGAATTTCAAAAGTCTAAAAATTACACATTCATTCCATAGACAGCAGATCTAAAAAGAGAATATGATTCAAGCTGGATATAAGGCTTACAATATGAAGTTCTGACAAAATTAAAAAAAAATTGGGGGGGGCAGGGGCTTGGATGGCTCAGTTGGTTAAGCATCCCACTCTTCCTTTCGGCTCAGGTCATGATCTCAGGGTCGTGGGATCAAGCCCCAAACTGGGCTCCTGCTCAGCAAGGAGTCCGCTTGAGATTCTCTCTCTACCTCCTCTTCTGCCCCTCCCCCACTCGTTCTCTCACTCTCTTGCAAATAAATAAAATCTTAAAAAAATTTTTTTTTTAGATGCCAAGAAAGAAAAGGAAAGGATGGAGAAACTACAGTGGTTCCCTCTGGCATTCTCCAAGAAATTCAAATACAAATTACTGCATATAAAAATGAGCACATAACCAAAGGTGAATAGAAAAACTGACATGAAACATAACAAGTTCAGGAAGGTAAGAGTCCAAAATGAGCTGGGGCTAAGCTAGATTCAGACCCCAGTTGGCTGATCAGAACACCAACCTACAAAAAGGGATGTTTCAAACACAAGTTAGGCAATAATTCGCAACCAAAGCAGCATCATAGGTGGTAACAGAAAAGCATATACAGATTGGGATGGTTACCATATTTCTGCCTGGAGTATTGGTTGAAAAAAACAAATTCTTAACATTCAAAATGAAAAAAGGAAACATTGCCCTTATTCAGTACATAATTGCAACTCAAACAATCTTGTGGTGATTCATTATAGCAACAGAGTATACCGGAGTGTGATGGCTCTTGCTACAGGATCATTACTGTGAATCACAGAGAAAATTCTCTTCACAAATTCATCCACATTCAGAATCTTCTCCAAATGCTTCTCACTTTGTTGAGTAACTTTAAGAACACACAACCTCAGGAAATTGTTTCTACGAAGAACCAGAGATAAAGTAAATTAGACCACTTTAGGAAAGTAATATTTAATTAGGAATCAAAGCAACACTAACGATATTAAATTTTAGCAATGGGCCAATGTTTTTCAATCTATTATTATTTCTCATCATTAAAAGAGCTGAAGCCTACACTTTGGTTTTTGTTGTTGTTGTTGTTTTTAATCCAGGACTACCAGGCTGGTTTAATATTCAAAAATGAAGCAATGTAATTCATAATATTAACAGGCTAAGGAAGTTACATGATCATATAAATCAACGCAGAAAAAGCAATGAACAAAATTCAATAACGCATCCATGATGAAACTAACCAAACTAGGAACAGAAGAAAACTTCTTGATAAAGGATATAAACCAAAAGCCCATAGCTAACATTATATTTAGGTGGTAAAAGAATGAATGCTTTCCTCAGAATTTTGGGGAAAAGGCAAATGTGCCAGCTCTCATTACTCTTATACAACATAGGGCTGGAACTTCAAGTTAGTGCAGTAAGAAAAGGAAATAAAAGGCACACAGATCAAAAAGGAAGAGAATCTGCCCTGATTTGCAGATGACATGATTGTGGGAGTGGCTGGCATATTTGATTACTTCACCATGTTGGAAGAGGGATTCTCAAGTTTTTGCTTTTGCATTTGTTAGTGTACCTGAAATGCCCAAACAGAACAAAACAAAACAAAACATAAGGAATCCTTTTCAAATGTCTGACACTCTTCCTAAAGATAATTTGCTCATGTTGTGCATACTGCTCATCCAGGTATGTCTTAAATTTATTATGTACAATAAACACAAATGTTCAAACTGTCAGAAAGGTAGTATTTCATAGATTCTGAAGACCAAATGCCAAGACTGCTATCTTGGCTCTGTCTCTCACTAACTGTATTATCATTGTGGACAAATTTAACTTCTCTGCTCAGTTCCATTTCCTCAATTATATAAAGCTGAGCAACAATACTTACCTCACATATGAAAACATGTGCAAATGAGAAAAGCATCTGATATATAGAAAGAGCTCAGTAAACAGTGAAATAAATGTTCCCGTTACTCCTTCACGTCTTCTTCTAATCAAAGAATACTGACAACATTACCCACAAAAATTTAATATGTTTGAGGATTTTGATCAAAGAAGATTATATATAAGACAAAAATTAAGAAAGCAAACAAATAGAAAATTTGTAGTAAAGAAAATGAGATCGTATGGCAAAATATTCAACCTCACAAGTTATTTATAAAATGCTAGTTAAAACAGCAATGAAATACCATTTCATAACTAGCAAATCAGAAGTAATAAAACTAATAGCCAGGGCTGACTAGGTTGTGGTCAACAGGTATGTGACCTTGGCGAAAGTATGAACTGATAGAACTGCCTTGGCAAACAATGTGCAATACATTTGAAAGGAAATAAAAAACTCAGGTCTGTTATATGGGATATTAGACGTCCTGTAACTCAGCATTTACAGCTCTGTCTCTCTCTCCTCCCACAGTGGACAGAACTAATTCCAGACTCAATCCTTTCTGATGTGTCCTATTGTATCAGTTACCTGGATGTTATCTGACATCCTCAGACATGTATGAGAAGGAAGGATGAGAAATGTTAAAGCCAAGGTCAAGAACTCTAAGCATATATTAGGTAAAGGAGAACATAAAGGAACGAAGACTTAAGTATCAAGAAGGGTTGTGGAACTGAAATAACATACTCAAGATCAGAGGAGATCATCTGAGAGCTTTCAAGATTCAAAGTCTGGAGACACTGCTCTGCTGATGTACCTACAGAAAACGGGAGCTACATGTAGGAATCGTATGGTATTTGGTGGTGTGAAGCCTACACTTAGAATACGAAGCATAGGCAGTTGGCAATGCCTGCAATCCTGCTGCAAGACACCCAGATGGCAGTGACAGAGAGAAAAGCCCTGGGGATGAATTAAATCTCCTCCATCATAGTATGACGAAGGCCAGGAGGTCAGATGGTCTTCCTCTTCTCTCAAGCTAATTCTACACATCTCTTCTCCTTCAAGTCTGACTCGGTGTGTGTATAAACACACAAGTGCATGGAAAATGGCAGAAAGAAGCAGGAGAGGGACTGGTGGAGAGGGAAAAAAAAACCCCAAAAGGTATTTATCCAGTCTGTCCATGTTTCAGGCACTTCAGAGTAACATGTAATCTTGTGTTATAAAACAAGTTATTAAATCAGGAACTTCTCAAAACAATCTGTGCAAACCACAGATACTTCCAAAAGTTGCAATAATATATATATTAAGATTATCTTAACTGGATTTATTCTGTTCCCCAAAGAAATAAGTCCTCTCTGACTTGTAACTTCATTTCTGCTTAAAACGCCATCATATTTCACGCCAAAAAGTATAAACTGCCATGTATATCCACTAAAATGTTCACTAACCATGCAGAAGTCCCAAAGGGCAAAAACAATAAAGACCACAACATTATAAACAAAGAAATCTGAACAAAGTACTTTAGGACACTGAGGCTTTAAAAAGACTTACCCAACTCTGAAAACATCTGCTAACTTTAGGAACGCAGAATTGATGAGAATAGGAAATGGATACTTCTGAAAGAGTCTGGGAAACCGAACAACTGCTTCACACTGTTCACCAAGTTTGCCAGATCTCAGACCTATGAAAAGCATGAAAACGGAAGAACAGCTTACAAACCTGTAGCTACAACAAAACAAAAATAGCAAATACCCACACAGCATCATACAGCCGTAAAATAACAGTCATTCACAATTAGGTAAGGTACCACTGTAACTCATGAGCTTTTTAAAAAATAAAAATGGCCTATAAAATAGTAATTTGGTAAACTGCCACTTTAGATATAAAATAATGAAAAAGAAACAATTTCTTTTCAAAAAAGTTTGAGAATTTTAAGACTACCTGGGGCCATAAAATAAATCTCAGCAAATTTAAAATGACTGAAACCACACTTTGTTATGTTCTTTGACCACAGTGGAATTAAATTAGAAATTGCCAGGAGAAAAATATCTAGAAAATTCCCAAATATTTGGAAATCAAACAACTTCTAAATAAGCCACAGGTGAAAGGGAAAATTAGAAAAATCTCTTGAACTAAATGAAAGCACAATCTGTGTGATGCACCTAATGCAGTTCTTGAAGAAACATTTATAACATCTAACACTTTATATTAGGAAAGAAGAAAGGTCTCAAATCAATGGCCTAACAAGGGGCCAAGATAATTCAATGGGGAAAAGATACTCCTTTTAACAAACTGTTCTGGAACAAGTGGCTATCCATAAGCAAAATAAATAAAATCTCAATCCTTAATTTGTACCATATACAAAAATTAACTCAGAATGAACCACAGACCTAAATGTAAGAGCTAAAATTATAAACCATATAAAGAAAATACAGAGGAAATCTTTATGAGCTTGGGTTAAGCAAAGAATTCTTGGGTTAAACAAAGAAATCAAAAGATACTTGTTAAGAGAATGAAAAGACAAGCGACACACCAGACGAAAATATTTACAGAACACATACCTCATAAAGGACAATGTGGAGGCCGCTTTTAGGCCACAGGCTTGAGCAATGGAAACTGAATAAGGTAAAGGGGCCCACAGCAGCCACTGAGCTGAATGCAGACAGGCCCATTAGGTGACCCACCTCAAAATATTCATAAGCCCTAGCTGACTGTGGGCTACTTACAACGAGGCACAGGTACCAAAACAGGAAAACTCCATAGTTCCCATGCCTCTTCACTTCCCCCACTATTATACTCCACCCCCCTCCACCACTGCCTCCTCACAGTCTCCTTTGCTGTCCTGCCATGCTGCTCCCTTGCAGTGTATTCAATAAACTACTATCTCCTTTGTTCTGTCTTGGGTAAATTCACAATCCACACCTCCAGTCTCCACCCAATAGAGTCGCTCCACAGGCAGAATCCATACTTCCAATACCTCAATAAGACGACAACCTGATTTTTGAAATGGGTGAGATTTGAAGAGAAATTTCATTAAAGAAGAAATATGAATGGCAAATACATGCAAGTTAACAGATGTTCAACACTGCTGGTCATCAGGGAAATGTAAATTAAAAACCACATTAAGATATCACTACATACCCACTAGAATGGCAAAAAATTTTAAGAATGACATACCAAGTGCTAATGAGGATATGGAGCAACTATAACTCTCATATATTGTTGGTGGGAATGCGAAACTATACGTTTCTTTGGAAAACAGTTCGGCTATATTTTTATGAATATAATCATATACTTACTATATAATCAACAATCCTACTTCTAAATATTTAACCAAGTACATTGAGAACATATGTCCATACAAAGATCTGTATCTGTATCACAGCAGCTTTATTCGTAATAGCCCCAAACTGGAAAAAACCCAAATGTCCATCAACTGGTGAATGAATAAACAAACTGTGGTCTATCCATACAATGGACTACCACTCAACGATAAAAAGGAAACAATTGCTGATTCATGCAACAAGGGTAGATCTCAAAATCACTGTGCTAAATAAAAGAAGTCAGACCCAAAAACGACTACGATACTGTATGACTATTTTATAGGACATTCAAGAAAAAGCAAAACTTTGGGACAGAGAACAGATCAGTGATTGTCAGGGGCTAGAGAAAAAACTGACTGCAAAGGGATACAGGGAAAGTCTTTGGGGTGAAGGAAATGTTCTATGTCTTGACTATGGTAGTGGTTTCATGACTGCATCCATTTGGTGAATTTTATTACCTATAAATTATACCTCAAAAATCTGATTTTAAAAATGTAAAAAAAAAAAAAAACCAACAGTTAATGTTCAATCCCTAAAAAATATTCATTTAGAATGGAAACTTGATATGGTATTAATAGCATCCACTTCAAATATTTCTTTTGGTATTTTAGCATTTATAAAATGCTAATTATATCTATATTCGTACAAGAGTAAGTGCTCTAGAATATCTCTGTTCAATAAACTCTGCTCACTGTTAAAAAATGACAAAGGAAATACTCCTCTGAGGACTCTTTATTGTCACTATGTTTCAATACAAAAGACAACCACAGAGTAAATCTGCATAGGCAATTTCTACAACTTATTAATGGTTTGAGTTCTGTAAATGCACTCATGTTGGTTATTTGGTACTTGGAATAGATTTCCTCGTTAGGAAAAAAAAAAAAAAGCACTATCAGCACTCATCATATTCCAGAATCCAATAACCACTTATAATAAAAGTTCCTATGGGAAAATTAATTCAAAATTAATTCAAGTTTCTCATGGAGATATTTAGAACATATTCCTTCTTTGCCTGCTCCCTTCTTCCCCTACCCCCCACCTCCATACACAGAAGAACTGACACTAGAGCTCCTGGAGTCATCTTCCAGGCAAATACAGTGCCAATGGAAATGTTCTAGGTAACTGGCAGTGCCTCATGTAGCCTTAAAAGCTTTTCTAAAGGCCTGACTTGACAAAGGGGTCAAGAGACACACACATAGGGCAGTAAGGACAGAGGGGAAGGAGAGAGGAGGAAGGCCCAAGTCTGAGGATGGAGGCGAGAGAATAAAGGAACAGATGTGTTTGTGTGTGTGTGTGCTGTGGGAATCTGTTGGGATAATCCACAGTAATCGGGACTTTTTTCCTCCTCTTCTTTCTGCCAGTAGTTGAGTAATGGAAAAGGGAGTAAAGTGCTGCTTGTAATAAGTTAACCTTGGTTGGGATGAAAAAGGTAAAGTAGGAGGCAGCCCATGTAGAGGGAGTTTGCTGACAGAATATGATCTGTTTCACTTTCCCTTAAAAAACACAACCACAGACTACATTCATTGGTTTAAATATGATGATTTAAAATGTACCAAAGATAATTTTGAATCTGGCCAGAGAAATGTTTTGATTTCTCTAATACTGTCAAACTTTACTTCCTTAAGATAAAATAGACCCTCATTCTTGTAACAGGGCTGATCAGAATAAATAAGTTAAAGAATAGTAAATTTCTTGCTTAATAACTGATATAAGAGCTTTAGGAAAAAGGAAACAAGCAAGGCTGGTTCTGAGGGACAGAAGCTAAGGTGCAAGAGAAGACAGAAATGTATCAAGACCTAGGATTTAGCAATAATCTCAGGCTGAGGCAGTATGGTACCCATCTTGCTTGCTCTGGGCCAATTTCAATTCCAGAATAAGCCAAGCAGCTGAAAACAGGCACTCAACACGGTCAGATCTTGTTCTAGGAGGAATTGTTCACTTTATTTCTGTTGCTAGCTACAACCAACCTAAGGAAGAATGCCCTGATCATAAGACCAATGATCGTGAGAATGTCACTCTAAAACCAGAGATTAAGGTGGAGGGATGCAATTGCTGTTTCTACATCTTTCTTTGTATTCTCCCAAAGAAATAGAGCTCTCTTTCTTTTCAGTGCCTGCAATTAAACAGTGCTTAAATCAGTTGCAACATTCAGGTAGACTACTGAGAACTAAAATAGGTTGTCTGTAAATTGCTTATTCATTCAAACTTCATTTGACAGCAGTGAAATTCATTATTCTAGACTTACTTAGCACTTAACACGTGCAGAACATTTTGCTAGGTTAGTGGTTTTCAGCTGTGGTTCTGCATCAGAAACATTTGTAAAACTTTTCAAAAATACCTGTGCCAGAGTTTTACTTCAAACCTACCAAATCTGAGGCTGAGGCCCAGGCATCTGTTTAGCTACTTTGAGAAGGCAGGAACTTAGATCCTCAAGCTATCCTCCACCACTTCTCACCCTATTTAACTGCCCTGTCTATACTGGAGTTAGAAAACTAATAGTTTGCTGAATTTGGCATTCAAATTTCATCTGATAGACAACAATGTTTTTTAAAGGTTTTGAATTCATTGTCAAATTTTAAAAATGAAATGAGATTTCAATAAAACCCAGAATTTCTGGTTTTGAAATTTTTTATCGTTATGTTAATCACATTAGTTTTGAAATTCTTAAAGATCTGCAATGTCACTAAAGAAGGTGGGAGTCTTGACCAAAGAAACACTGTAGTATTGCAGGTCTGTGCTGAAGGCCCATTTGGGCTTGATAATCATTTCTGGTAATAGCCATGTACCCTACAATCTTTCTCTAGCAATTTATGGCTGCCTTTGGGCACACATAACTAGAAGAGAATCTTGGATGAGAATTTAAGGTGCTGGTAAGGGGGCACCTGGGTAGCTCAGTCGGTTAAGTGTCTACTTTTGGCTCAGGTCATGATCCCAAGGTCCTGGGATGGGGCCCAGAGCTGCGCTCCCTGCTCAGCGGGGAGTCTGTTTCTCTCTCTGTCCCTCCCCCTGCTCATGCTCTCTCTCTCTCTCTCAAATAAATAAATAAAATCATTTAAAAAATAAATAAAATAAAGTGCTGGTAAGAAAGTTAATAAAGTTAATAAAACGTGGCACCATGAAATCTAAGCTCGATAAAGAAGAAACAACAGGAAGAGTCTTTTGGGTAGGGGAAAGTAGACGGGTGAATATACTAAGGTCTGAATGAAAATAAAGAATGATCAATATAGCAGTTAGTCATGATGATGGTGATGGTGCATAGTAAGTGCTTATTCTGTGCCACTCTACTAAGCAATTTACATGAATTAAACTCTCACTGCAATCATAGAAGTTAGGTACTATTATTATCCCCATTTTAAAGATGACACAGGCAGACTGGTTATGCAATGTGCTTAAGAAACAGCTAATAAATGGCAGACCTGGGATTCACATCCTGGCAATCTGGCTCCAGAGCCTAATGGTCCTAAACTATTATGCTAAAATACATCTTGAGCAAGTAACTAACTAGAGGACAGAGGTTAAGATTTTAAAAGGGATATTTAAATTATGATTTTAGAGTGGTGTAATTCTGACAACAGACAAATTCCAGGCAACTGGGAAGAATAACATAAATGATGGTAAACTTGGGGATCATTATGTACAGTAATCAAGTTTTCAAAACAACACACATTTCCAGGTAGCATGTATCAGCCAGAGTTCTTAGCTTCAAGCAACACAAGCTAACTGGCTGATTAGGCAGAACATGCGTTTACTAAAAACCTAACAGTTTCAAGGCTAAACATCTATGAACACCTACTACCACACTGCCAGACTGATTAGATGAAGAGAAGTCTTGTTGCTAGGAAACACCAGATGCTACAATCAGCTCTGCTGACATCCAGGAACCCTGTAGCCATTGCCGCTGTTACTGTCCCCTAGGAACACCGCAACCGCTGTGGCTGCCAGGGCACAGAACTGTGAGCCTGCTCTCCAACTATGCCTTCTTGCGCTGCTGAACTCCTAAATCACAGAGGCCAGAGGAGGTCTGTCTGACCAGCAGGGCCAAGTTCACATCCTGCGCTCTTGCAAGGGAAGCCAGGAAGGTGAACTTTGGCTTCCACCCTGGTGAGGCAGAGCATATAGTGTGGGTCATTCCTTAAGCACAGGAGGAGTGACTACAAGATGCTAAGCGACCACCAACAGGAGGAATACCCATTACAAAGAATACTGCTAATACACATTACCTCACAAGCACATTTTAGAAGAGTTTGTTATACACATTCGCTTTAGCTAAGGTGTGAGGATGACTCAAAAAGGAAACATAATACATATATACCTTAAAGTGTATTCATTAAAAATGGGGGTAAGAGCAGGAAAAAATACAAACACAAGTATGCACCACACATTAGAAGGTAACCTAACAACCCATAGCTTAATAAATCGATAATGTCTTTAGATTTGGTGGGGTTATTAGATATCTGGACCTGCAACTCTCACTGGGGAATAAGGAAGAAATTTCCAGGATGGAAAGGAAAGGGTTATGTAGTGTTTAAAAAACACATCTAATATTACAATTTTATCTTTCATAGGGGAAAAGTCCTACAGCTTTGGTAAGAGAAAGCAAAAAGTTCAACACCATTTTCTTGACTGATGGGGATGCACTAAAGATACTGTGACTCAACCACAGAATATCTCATTGGAGTGCTATGACATTTTTATGTTGATCAAAAAGAGTTAAAAGCTTTTTAAAAAGTCTAAGAAACTCTTACCTAGACCTACCTATTAGAAATGTTTACAGGTTAAAAAACAAAACAAAAAAACCGAAATCCCCAAAAAGTTAACAGAGTGTCCAAGTCAGAGCAGGGAACTGGCTCAAAGTGGACTTAAAGAAGATCCTTCTAACCTGTAGTCCCAATTCTCAATATATTATATATTGGCTATGGTTAATGAAGAATTAACTGTATACCAGGTGACAAAATGTTCCCCCATTCAATAAAAATCACTGAAACAAAGAATATTTGAGTTCTTTACTGTCAAACATTTGCCTCTGCCTCCCACAGCCTTATTTAAGAAGGCATATCTCTTTAGCATTTAGTAAAGGCTTCTTTTACATACAATTATATATCACTTAATATTTGCAAATCTTGCAACCTCAATGGTACTGCAATTTGTAAACAAAAAAAACGAGGTTAGGTGAAGTTAGGTGACCTGTCCATGATCATAAAATTGGTGGCACTGTAATTCGACTCAGTCTAACTCCAAAGCTCCTTCCACTACACCAAGCAGCCCTCCCACCTCCCACGCCCCCTTGCCACAGGAAAACAGAACTCGTGGAATTTACAGAAAGAGGAGCTATGATTTTCGGATTTTCTTGGCCGTGTTTAATGTCTAGTAAACCGTAGGTAAGAATTACAGAAATAAAATACGTCGTTATAAAGTGGGTGCAAGATTATTATTCAGCACTCTTGATGAAGACCTTGTCTCACCTGAACGTACTGACAATTTCACAATTTAAATGTAGCATTTTTACAAACTGCTTGGAAAATCGGGGTACTGTGCCCTCAAGCGGTCAAACAGGGCCCATCACTGGAGCTCACTACTTCTTCAGCTGGTGCAAACCCAAACCTGCAACAAGGCAATTTTCCTGCAATCTCCCAAAGCTGCAAATGCTCTGGACTCACCAAAAGCATAGGTACCCGCCCCCGCCCCCGCCCAGGGAAGCTAGGCGCATGCGCCTGGCCGGCGGCTACCACCGCCTGGTGGCGCCACAACCCCCCACGCCCGTTTCACCCGCTCAGCCCGCTCTTTCGAATACCTTTGTCTAATTCCATAAGGGCAGAGTTAGCATCCAGCTCCTGTTCGCCATAGCCGGCATCTGCCAGGAAAGACTTAGTTGAATTTGACGCCATGACCCGAATAGTCACTCGACTAGCCTATTTAAAAAGATTGCAAACTCTGCCCCAGCACCGCCATCTTCTTCCACCACCTTCTCGCGGATTTTTCCTCCGCGCTCTGTCAAGCCCTGTTACGCATGCGCCCTAGTCACCCCGCCGTTCGCCAGCGCCTCTGCGGCCCCCCGCGCAGGCGCTCAGGGAGCTCCTGAACTCTGGGTTCCCGCGGCTCGGAGAAAAGGAGGCGGGGATTGGAAGGGGGAAGTGACTCGGAGGCGCCCGGACGCCGCGGTGGGAGCCAATCAGAGGGCGTGACGTCAGTTTGGCGGGGAGTTTGGTGGCCGGGGCTTACAGTGGCGGGAGTTGGAGGCAATAACTAGTCGTGTTCTGAGGGGCGCAAGATACGATTTCTGCTGAACCTGGGGGGCATTTCCACGGCTTTTCTGTCAGTTGAACCTTTTCCTCTGGCCCAGATGCTTTTCAATTCGGTGCTTCGCCAGCCCCAGTTCGGCGTCCCGAGAAATGGTGAGTAACGGCCCTAACCGCTTCTTCTTGCTGGCGGGCTTCACCTCCCCCGAACAACACGGCGGATCAAGGCCGACTCCAACTCTGTTTCCCAGCCCCCGACTTCTCCCACGGCCAGAGTGAGTTCGTGTTAGCGAGGACTACTGAAGAAAGCTGCACTTTCTTGCCCTTGGGACACTTTTAATCGTAATCGGGATTTTTTAAATCGTTATGTGGGCTGACGGAGGGAAGAAAGTCGAATCGACTGGCCTTCTTTACGGCTTCTGTCTATGTTGCACAGTAACTGGAAAATGCGTGCATTTGTGTGTGTGTGCGCGATTCCACAGCTATGGGAGATCGTCAGGACTCGTGTTCACTAATTGATTTGTTGATTCATTGATTCATTTGTTGTAGAACTTTAGTGAGCCCTACTATTCGCTTATATATACTTGTGAGTGTGACCCGCTATTAAGGAACTCATTCTAGCCGAGAAGACAACATCTGCTTCTAGCATGGTCAAAAAAATGTTCCCCCCGATTACTACATGTGCGTAAAAATACGAAATTACAGAGTGAAAAATGCCCATAACCACATCCCCCAGAGATAACCACTCGTGATAGATTAAAGTAGATTATTCCAAATGTTTTTCAATGCCAAAGTAATACGTATTGTTATTTACAGAAATGGGGTCAAAATGTTTTGTTCGTTTTGTTTTTAACCGTAACGGTATAACTTGGGGGATATTTCCATAGTATGTAGAAATCCAGCTTCCTCGCTACAGTTCTTGAGGTTCCTTAGGTTAAAACATCGGCAGTGGGAGTTTTGAGCTTAGGTTTGGGTGTCATCGACCTGAAACTTTCTGGTAAGTTTCTGAGGCGGGAGTTACTACGCAGACTTAGGATGGATACAAATGAAATCTCATTCATTTAAAAATGGACTAGATCTTCTTTCCCCTTGAAACCATGTGGAAAACAAAAAAGAATCTGAGAAGGAAACTTTTTATATCAAGGCAAAGATCTAGGAAGAGGATATTGAGAAGTAGACTGAGGAGTAGTCCCACAACTTCCTGCCCCCAATCTGAACTTTATACCTTTCTCACATACTTCTCCCACCCCCCGATAATCTTTCTGACTATACTCTAAAGGGACCTCTCTCTGACTCTCCTGGAACCTTGTTTGGGTAACTTCTCTATGCTCTGTGTCATGAGTGGCAGTACTGCCCAGTGATTAAGGTTAAGGTCTCTGTCTTTGGAATTGAACTGCCAGAGTTTTAATTCCAACTCCCAATCCTTACCACCTGTGAGACCTGGGGCAAGCTATTTATTATACTTAGCCTCTATTTTGTGACAGATATTCTCCTAATTCCCCAATCTTTCTGTCTACTTCCCCCCTCTCATTTACAAATACTCGCTTATTGTTATGTGTCAGACAATGAAATTCATTCATTGGTATAGATTATGCACTGAACTTTATAGGACCATCTTCTTTCCCCTTCTGAGTGTTCCACTCTAGGCCCCTTTTCGCACTTCTGCCTACTCCCATGGATGAGCCACAACCAGGGCTTATTCCACTACTACTTGCAACCTTCCATCCCCTATACTTTACATCCATTCCTATAAAAGCTGCGTGAGTATCTTCATCCAGCAGGTCGGTCCCACAAACATCTCAAACTCAAGTACTCAAAACAGCTCACTTTTCCCCAAACCTGCTATATTGCCTACTTTAGGGAGGGGTCCCAATTATTTTAAACTAGTCTTCCCTGACAGAAACCTGAGTCAATCAAACTTCCTCTGTTTTCCTCAAGGTACAGGAAGTTCCCTTAAAGGTCCCTTAAAATCTCTTGAATCTGTCCTCTCTCTATTCCCACTGATTTTGCCTCATCACTATAACTTGGATCTGTTCTGTGCTTACCATTCCATTTCCCTAGGTTGGGCCCTGATAACTACTTGTCTGTATTATAAGAAGGTTCCCAAATGGCCTCTTAGTTTCCCTCTCTCCAGTTTATTCTCCACATTGCTGCCAACAATCTAAAGTGGAAATCTCATTACTCTTCTATGTATTTTTAAGTTGTTATCTAAAAGTTTTTATCACAGATTTAAACTTACTGAAATTTTAAAATAAAAATGCTATGTCATTTAAAATGTATCTAATAGACTATGAATACTATAGTGATTTGATGATCATATCAGTCATTTTTTAAAAATATGAACAAACTCTTTAACTGCCAAATTTTCTATGTACATTTCAACCTTGAACAGCATAAGGATTAGAGTCACCAAACCCCACACAGTCAAAAGTCACCTATAACTTTGACTCTCCCAAAACTTTACCAATAGCCTCCTGTTGACTGGAAGGAAGCCTTACCAATAACATAAATGGCCAATTAACACATACTTTTTATATTATACATATTGTATACTGTATTCTTACAATAAAGCTAGAGAAAAGAAAATGTTACTAAGAAAATCATAAAGAAGAGAAAATACATTTATAGTACTATGTTTGTGGAAAAAAATCCATAGATAAGTGGACTCACACAGTTCAGACCTGTGTTTGAGGGTCAACTATAGTTTTTTCCCCCTTGATTTTATTTCCACTTTATTTTTCTCACAGAATTTATCCTAAGGTAATTTGATTGTAAGTTTGAAAAGTTATTTTATTGATCACGCTGTCATACTCCTCTGTGAAAAAAAATAAACTCGGTATTTTCTGTAATCATAAGGCTCTAAATGTCGAGAGTTTCCTCTGAATTGAATTGTTACAATTACTAGTATGCAAATGATCAAAACAGTATAGACTTAATTTTGATAAACAAATGAAGCAAAAAGTAAAATTTTATTGGAAGTGTATCTTTTGAAGAGAAAGATTTGGCTGTTTATGATACCTTTATTAAAGGAATTATCCTATTGTTTCTTAGTTGGAGTCCCAGAAGTTTTTGTACCTTGGATCAATGCAAGGTATAAGATTGGGGCATGGAAATGCCTTTCTTTTGAAAAGTGGAAGAAAAGCAGTGATGAAGGGAGAGGAGGAAAAAGAGCTTCAGCCTTCTCAAATCAGTTATAGAAATGCACCTATATCAACTGATTCTCTGAAAACTCATGTCCTTGGATACTCCTTGAAAAATTGGCCTGTAATTCCAGGGGCTTAAATTGTACATTGAGGAAAGAAGAGGCTTTTCCAAATGAGTGTCTTGGGGGAAAGCAATATATGTTCGTGTTGGAAGCAGCATAGCACAGTAAGGATCCAAAAGTTGCTTAAGAGACCAGTCCACAACTGTGTGTTGTAGAAAGTGCAGAAATGGAGGGGTAGATAAGGACAAGTTACTAAACCATGTTAGGCCATTTGTTGGTGTTTGGATATTAGTCTGTAGGCAGTGAGGTAGAGTTGAAAGAATCACTGTTTAATTGCAAAGAATTAGGTATCCAGAGCTTATCATGTTCAGTTCTGGCTGAATTGTTCAAGATTTAGTCCTTTTGAATTTGTATATTGCAATCATTAGATTATTATTATTTTTAATCCCAAACCACAATTGTATATATACAGAGGTTTTTGTTTTAAAATTCATTCTGTAGATGGATATTTGTGAACTCTACAATATAACTATTGTATTCTTTCTTTAGTGGTCTTTTAATAGCTTGTTTACACTAATACTTGACCTTGAGGTAATAACCCTAGGAATAATTACTAAATCTGGATTGTATTCTTTGCCTCTTTTGTACTGATTCCTTCAGGTAATCTCTAGGAACATCAAAGTTAGATTTGTCTGAGGTTATGTCAGACTGAGATGTCTTCTCCAAAGGGTATTTTTGATGAAAAGTGATAATTGAAAGTACCCTAAAATGTGAGTTTATTAAACAGCTCTCAATAGATTGTAACTTCATTGTTTCCTCTGATGCTTAATAAACATTTAGTTCTCAGTAACCATTTATTTAATGTTTCTTTTATATATTTAAAATGTGTTGACCTACATATCTTAATAATAAAACAAATCTTTGAAGATTGCTTATTATTTATTTAGGACCATAGTGCCCATTAGATCTCTGACCCAAGCAGAATAAATACTCCCTCTACCCTGAATTTCTTCCTCTGTCTTGTATATTCAGTGAAAACTTACTCATCTCTCTACACGTTTGATTTCACCTACTCTATAAGACTTCCCTGACTCTATTACTAGCCAGAGTTTAACTGATTGTACTCTAGGGGTGGGTACATAATGCCTCACTTTAAAATTGCTCTAATGTAATTTAAGATACTGTGACTTGTTAACATTTAGAATCCTAGAATTTCAGTATTGGAAAGAGGAAATGAAATTAGAATTTACTTGTGAATATGTTAGTAGCTAGGTAGGCAAATTTACATAAATTATTTCCTTTAACTCTTTGACCATTGGATTATCTATGATGTTGCAGGTAATTAAAGAGTTTGCTGTAATGTTGATTTAGAAACTCTGGAAACAAAATGTTAATTGAAGAGAATGGCAGTTTTAATGGTTGTGGTAGTCTCTGTGGTTGTGTTTTGTAGTTGTCACCAAAGGGTGCAGGAGGGGTAAGATCTTTTTTAATGTGCAAAGGCCATTTGTTTCTTAAAATCTTCAGTGTACCAGCAAGAGTCTCCATTTTAGATGGTAAGCCCAAAGCTGTACCTCACCAGAAGTTGAGAGTGCCCTTTATTTCTACCTTAGGACCCCTTAGGAAAATACCAGAAACTGTATTATAGAGGACCCTGAATAGTGAGTGGATTTATATAAAGTATATAAAGCTTTTAAAAACAAATATTTACCTCTGCACTTGTTAAAAGTACTGAAACGTGATAATATATTGAAATTCTATAAAGAATTGTGTCTTACTTTAGGATGGTCTTCCCAGTATCCTCTTCAGTCCCTTCTAACTGGTTATCAATGCAACTGTAATGATGAGCACACTTCTTATGGAGAAACAGGAGTCCCAGTTCCTCCTTTTGGATGTACCTTCTCTTCTGGTAAGAGAATTACTATCTAGCTAGGCTTGCTCAGAAATGATCTATAAAATTATACTGGGGTGTCCCTCTTTCAAGAAAAAGTAGGTTAGATAGATGGTAGAGGTTTTCTAATACCTGTTCTCCTCTGATTTATGAAATAGACTTTTTAAAATCTCTATGCATAATTATGTATTTCCTCTAAAGCATAGGACTATTATAGCATTGGTTTTTTTGTTTATTTTTTTAACTGGTACCGGGAAAGAATTGCAAAGGTTCAGCCATCTTGAAAACTGTTTTGCTCAATGGATACACCTTTTGGTCTGATGGAATATCTCTGTAATGCATTGGGGAACATATAAGCAGAAATAGAGTACTTGTCCCCATTGTTAATAGTTTAAGAGGGAAAAAAGTAAAAGGGTGTGAAAAGGAAATTTAACTAATAGACTCAACCTGCTGGTGGCCTATATCATATACTTTTCTTTGCCATTGGTCAGTATCACTCTTGTTTTATTTAAGTACTACCCTTCTCTAAATAAGAGATTATCTGAAGGTAATTTTGGTGGTTTTGAGTCATTTACTGAATTAGATATTATGGCAAATTTTAAGCAATCTTTAATTCAAATTACCTCTCTACCATATCCAATGCTATTAGGGTAGAATCATCTTCCCTCTTCAGATTCTTTGTATTTAACTTGTAGCTTTCAGTTAATATGTATTGTATTGTTTTTACAGCTTTATACTCAGCTTTAAAATTTTTGTGTTACTCTTTATGTATGGTATTCTTTATTTCTTATTCAGCTCCCAATATGGAGCATATACTAGCAGTTGCCAATGAAGAAGGCTTCGTTAGATTGTATAACACAGAATCACAAGCCAATAGAAAGAAGTGTGTCAAAGGTAAGTCTACGCCTAAAATTTTTGTTTTAACATTAAATTCATGAAGCCTCAAGTAAATTGTTATTTGAATGTATTCCCAATTATATTCACTTCTAATGAAGTCTATGTAGGGACCAGGCTAAAAGAAAATAGTAGATGGCCCTTCTGTCAATAATATTATAAGTACAGCAATACCTTTACTGAAAGTTGAAAAAAAAATACAATTTAGGATAAAGAACAGTTCTTTTAAAAAGTTAAATCTTTTACACTTGATGTGGTTGGGAGAAACTTTACTTTAAAATATCTATGTTGACCAAACATCTCCCTTATATAAGGCAAAGTTCTACTGATCTTAAGAAGCTAATAATTTGGAACTAGTTAAGTCAAGTGTGGAAATAAAACAGGCTGCAAATGATATAGACATACAAAAAAAATGCCACGGTTGTCAAAAGGAAAGCTGTCATGTAGTAAAGATGGCAAGGACAATTTTTCATGAAGAGTAGAACATTTGAGTTGGACTGTGGTATTTAAACCTAAGGAGGTGGGATAGGACATGCCAGGTGGAGGGGAAAGCATTAGCAAAGGCCTAGAGATAAGAAAGCATAGGCTATAATTAGGGAATGGGGAGGCATCCAGTTTGGTTGGAATAAGGTATGTGGAGACAGTGAGAGATAAACCTTGCAACAGAGATAAAGGCCAAAGCATGCAGAACCTTAAATGTCAAACTACTTTAGATTCCATTCAGAGAGCATGATGAAGATTTTTGAACTGGAGACTATTTCAGAAAGATTCCATTTTGGAGAATATATTACTAGTCACCTCATGGAAAGGAATTTGATATCAAATGGTAGTTCTCTGTAGTAGTGAAGGAAATATGTAAGTTCTGTGAGTATACAGGTTCTCTTTGGCCAATGGGTTATAGGGCGTTGATGACTTATTTTTTCACTCTGGCTTTCAAGAAATTCAAATTTCTATTGATATGGCCCTGAATGTAGTCTAGACATTTCACATTCACCATTTTCTTTGTTTAGAGTGGATGGCTCACTGGAATGCTGTCTTTGACCTGGCCTGGGTTCCTGGTGAACTTAAACTTGTAAGTGACTTTCATTTTATTGGAATCTGGGTAAATACTGGTAAAGCGTTGCTTTATTAAATTATGATACCTTATTTTTTGAAAGGTTACAGCAGCAGGTGACCAAACAGCCAAATTTTGGGATGTGAAAGCTGGTGAACTGATTGGAACGTGCAAAGGTCATCAGTGCAGCCTTAAGTCAGTTGCCTTTTCTAAGTTTGAGAAAGGTAGGTCTGTGCCTATCCTCTTTCATGTCCTTAACCTCCTTCATGGTGAGTTAATAAGAAGCTTTGATTGTTTCCACCCTTTCCCCTGTCAGAGTTGCTACTTTTCCTACATTGAGATTGAGAATCTCATGACTGAAATCCTCCATGAAATTAAGTTGACTTTTAGTCCCATTCTTATGGATATTATCTCTAGCCTGTCCCTGTAAGTTAAGAATCTTCAGATAATTTTTTTCTATAATCCTGAAGATAAGGTAAATACTTATAAACAGCTACAATACCTCTGTTCAACTTTGAGTGTCCTTTAAAGTCAAAACCCTGTACTGGACACTGATTAACTCTATTTGTAAATTATTTACTTTAAGTCTACTAGTAAAATTTTAATTAAATGGAGTGTGAGGCTAGAGTGGAAAACCTGGTAAAATCCACATGATTCTCTACCTAAAAATTTACCGTTTAATTACTTTAAATGGCCCAATTCCTTAGTATGTTTTCAACTATTATTTACTATATTTATTTTACTATTAAAGTGGAAAAGGAAGTCTTAAAGAGTGATATAGTACAGAACAGTACTATAGCAGCTAGGGAAAAACTTAAGAAGTGTCTGAATTAGCTCTTCATTTCTGTTCATTTCTTTTCTCCTTCCTCCATTAGTTTCTCACGAATTTTTTTTTTTTTAACAAATAGACCAACAAATACTCATCTCAAAGAAGTGGCTGAATTAATCTGACCTTAATCTCAATAATAGAGACAAACATTACAGTCTTCTTTATCATTAAGAAATACTCTATTTTTAAATTTATTCATGTGAGCACTCAGAAATATTAAACTGAGTTGTTGAGCTGATTTGGACTCAAAAAAAGGTCAAATTTAATTGACTGCGGTTGCTTTTGAGAGTGGAACCTTGAAGAATATATAGCATAGTTTTTATCTCTGCATAAGTTTTCATTAACACATCTGTTTATATAAAGTTAGGTATGGTTGTGTTCTAGTTTACTACTGTGTCAGAGTTGACTCTAAGTTTATAAAAATAATGTAAGATCATGAAAATTAACCTTACTAGGGGTAAATTTATTTAAAGGATAACAGAAAAGGAAAACACTATATCTTTTGGTCCCTTTGCTTAATTTTTAAAATTCTGTTCAGTAAATCTATGCCAATATGGTCTAGTAGAAAAAGCATTGAATTAGAAATTGGGGCTGGTAGGTTTTACAGTGGCTCCTAGTAGTCTATAGGTGCTCTAGCATGAATTACCTGGTTGGACACTGCCCCCATAGCCACATAGTTTGGTTGGTAAACACAGATTAGATTTTAGATCTTCAGCCAAATGCCTTTGTACCGGGCACACTTTTACAATCATACATAGAATCCCTGTGTTTTTTTCCTGTTTCTACCTCTAAACTCTTGGGCAAAGTCATTTTTATCTCCCTGGACTTTTCATCTGTTGATTTTTTTTTTTTAAGATTTAATTTATCTATCTGTCAAGAGAGAAAAAGAGCACAAGCAGGGGGAACGGCAGGCAGAGGGAGAAGCAGACTCCCCACTGAGTGAGGAGCCGTATGTGGGACTCGATCCCAGGACCCTGGGATCATGACCTGAGCCGAAGGCAGATGCTTAACCGACTGAGCCACCCAGGCGCCCCAATTTTGGTGTTTTAACAGGCAATTAACTCAGTAAGAGTCAAATTGCAGACTGTCAGACATATGGCGGGGGGGTTCAGATCTCAATTCAGTTCTTTAATTTAAGCCTTAGTTACAAGCCTCTTTTGGTTTTCCCTTGCATATATGGTTCAGGGGTCAACCAGAGACAGGTGCTAAGTTTAAACACAGAGTTAGAGTTAGCCCTTTCTCTGGCTCTCTCCAGGGTTCCCCTCTCACTCTGGCTCTGGCAGCTCTTGTTGCCTCAGTCTGCTTTTCCTTGTTCCTCTGGCTTGAAAGATGGCAGATTCTGTATTGGCATCTTAGCTGCTTGGTACTGATGCTGCAACTGTGGCTGCCTTCAAGGTAAAACTACAAAAGCCAGTAACTTAGCCCAGGCCAATCACTTGATTCAGGTGTATACTTCCCTCCAAAAATTGCATGTTTTTGTTCAGTTTCTAAAAAGCCATCAGGTAACTGGTTTTTATATTTTGTCCAGAGTTTATAGCTAATGCAGTTGGATTGGTTTGGTAAGTGCTCACTCTTCCACTCAGGAAGCAGAGTTTTTTTGGTTTCATTTTAAAGAATAAAACGTTACAGGTAAATTGAAGTTCCCCTATGTTCCCTTCTCCAATCCTGTTGCCCTCTTTCCATCCCTAGAGGCATCCTCTTTCACCGTTTTGTATGGATCTGGTCCATATTTTTATACTGAAGACAGTACAGCTTGGAGATTTGGAGAGTGGGCTCTGGATTTATTCTGCTAGGAATACCTTTATAAGTTACTTATCCTCTCTATGCCTTAGTTTTCCTATCTGTAAAATGAGGATAATAATATTCACCTAATAGGGTTGATAACAAGAATTGAGATAATGTATATAAAGCCCATGGGATAGTGTGTAGCACTTAGTAAACTCTCAGTATATTTTGGTTATTGCTTTTTCATTATTCTTTCCATAGGTGTACTACATATAGTATTTTATGTGCTTTTAGGAATATTTACACAGAGGGATTATTCTCTAAAGCATAAGCATTTTGAGTTCTTCATAATCCTTTATTTGTTTCCCCATAGCTGTCTTCTGTACAGGTGGAAGAGATGGAAACATTATGGTCTGGGACACCAGGTGCAACAAAAAAGGTAGCCTAGTTCCATTTTGATTTTAATAATTGTGGGATCACCTCATACTTATTTTGAATGAGTTAATGATTTCATCTGGTTACCACCAGGGGGCACATGTTCATAATCCCCCCCTGTCTTCGGCTCGCCGTTCCTATTCTCAGGATTGTTGTGATTGTTGCAAGTATTACCCTCTGTATTTACCTCATATTGTCTTCTGAACTATGCCACTTACCTAAATTATTGATAGAATTGGAATTATTAATACATGGGCTCAGTGGTTAACGATCTTTTAAAAGTTATTTGGCTTTAAAGAATTGGATTAAATTAAACATAATTATGCTCACATTATACCCATGATGCCATTAAGCAGAATGCAGGGATCATCTCACTGCTTACTTCCTTTTTTAAAAATAATTTATTTTTAATAGACTATTTTTTCAGAGCAATTTTAGATGCACAGCAAAATTGAGCAGAAAATACAGAGAGTTCTCTAAGTACTGATATACTCCCTATCCCCACAGCCTTTCCCACTATCAGCATCCCATGGCAGAGTTCGGCATTCGTTAAAACTGATGCACTTGTACGGATACACCATTAGCACCCAGTGTCCCTCAGTACTTTACAGGAGGGTTAACTCTTGGTATTGCACATTCTGTTGGTTTTGACAAATGTATAATGACATGTGTCTAGCATTATAGTATACAGAATGGTTTCACAACACTAAAAATCCCCTGTGCTCATCCTGCTCTCCCCCGCCAACTCCTGACAACCACTGATTTTTTTTTTTTTTTTTACTGTTTTACTGTTTGTTACCGTTTCCAACGTTTTACCTTTTCCAGAATGTCATATAGTTGAAATCATATAGTATGTAGCCTTTTGAGATTGGCTTCTCTCATTTAATATGTATTTAAGGTTCCTCCTTGTCTTTTAATGGCTTGGTAGCTCATTTCTTACCATTGAATAATGTGCCGTTACCTGGATATACCAGTTTATTCATACACTCATCATCAAGAGGACATCTTGATTGCCTCCAAGTTTTGGCATTTAGGAATAAAGCTGCTAAAAATATCATATGCTTATTTCTCTTCTATACATCATAATGGCACCAAAAGAAATGTAATGCAGTAGTTCTGCTGGCTTTCAATTTCACTATTAAGAATATAATTAATTTTGAGATTTTATGTGTAAATGTGACATTCAGCATGGGAATAAAGTTCTGAAACCTAAATCAGTTTGCTTGGAATATCTTTCAGATGGATTTTATAGGCAGGTGAATCAAATCAGTGGAGCTCATAATACCTTAGACAAGCAAACCCCTTCAAAACCTAAGAAGAAACAGAATTCAAAAGGACTTGCTCCTTCTGTGGTAAGGTTTTATAGCTATGTACATGTGTGCAGATCTTAACATGTAGTAAGATAGAATCTCATTTTAGGTAACTTGTTGGGCATAAAATAGGAGCTATAGATTAAGTGAATGAGAATCTTCATTCAGTGGTTTATTACTTACTGCTCAATACCTACAGTAGTGGTTCTCAAACTCTAGTGTGTAACAGTCACCTGGAAGCCTACTAAAAATTCGTCTTCCTGAGCCTCATCCCTAGATATCTCCATGCATACACTATCTACAATATAATGTAATTTATTAGAAAAGGGGGGATAGTTTGAAGAAGTATATTAAGTACTATGGTATAGTTTTCTATAGGGGGAAGTAATCCCTGTTTTTTACATAACAAACTACAGTAAATATGTGAGTTTTTAATATTTTTTTAAACATTTGGCAAAATATTTAAATATATTGAAACATTTAGGTAAAATATATCTCTCTAGTATCTTCTACTCAAAGCTTAAACATTGCCCATAATACATCTTTTTTCTTTAAAAAAAAAAAATCACCATGGCTTTTACTTTAATTTTTTATTTTTCTGCTATTCCTGATCTGTAAGATCCAAATTAATATGTTGGAGAAGTGTGTTTACTAAAACGTTAGGACTTAAAATTGCATACCAAGAATAGGACACAGGCGTAAGTGGAAACTGACAAGATTAACTGTGGTTTTTGGAGGCCAGATGGAGTTAAAATGAGTATCATTTCAGACAATCAGAATCTGAGCCAGGAAAACTTGTTAACAGCAATTAGGAGGTGGAATTCCGTTGAGATCCTTTAAATTTTTCAGAGCACATAATCATCTTTCATCAATAATTCTTTAGACATTCCTATGTGACAGTTTAGGTGGATGGTGACATTTTGTAGATGAAACAGACAAGAGAGTTAAATGAGTTTCCTACAGAGACATAGCTTATTAGTAGGACTGATTTTAAGTAGAACCAGTAGGTTTAGACAAATCTTTTATTCACCTGTTTGTTTCTTGAGTACAAGTCAAAGTCAACACTATGTACTATAACTTCATAATGTTTAGGTCATTTTCATGCTAAAATTACTTCTTGGTCAGTATACACACCTGACTTAAGATTATTGGAGAGGGAAGATTTAGTCTAACTCAGAATTTGGGTGGGGGGGAAGCCATCATTTTAACACCTTGGTCTCTTGATGAAGATTATGGTACCGAAAATAGGACTTTCTTCTATCTTTTTCTGCCTTGTGCTGTCAGGATTTCCAGCAGAGTGTTACTGTTGTCCTCTTTCAAGATGAGAATACGTTAGTCTCAGCGGGAGCCGTGGATGGGTAAGAGCCTTTATTTCTTGGTTCTTTTGATGAGATCTCTTTCATAAGCTATGATAGGGAAGTCACCTAGTCCCATTGTAATTGAATTTATATGCTTTTAACTTTCGACATAGTGAATATCCAGCTGAGAAGAGGAACTACAGATCACACTGAAAAATATCTAGTTAGGACTCTTGCTCAAATAATTAAATGAGGGAATCCATATGTCACACTTAGCACATTATATAGCACATAGGAGCAGTGTTGGCTGCTGCTGTTGTTGCAGAGAAACTGGGTGGGTAGCTTGCTTGTCCATGCAGTATAATTTAGGTAGTGAGTCTTATTTTGAGGAATAAAATTTCTATTATTTTGGATTTTTATCTTCTCAGGTTTAGTAATACCTTAAAAGAAGGAATCTGATTCTGGGTGTATAATGGACATTTTGGGGAGTAATCTAACAATATTGATAGTAAGGCCTAATGGCTTTCATATACCTGCCATCTGTGATTGGTCTGAATGTTTGGCTTCCAGATAAGTTTGTGGTACTTCTTAGTTGGTTGCTTTGTTACAATAAAAATTCTGAGGTGTTTTTTAAGCACCCTTCTTTGCCCCTTTATTTGCTTATCATATCTCTTAAGACATCCCTCCCTTTGAAACAAATTTAAAAAGATGATGGCCTAATGAACTAGGATTTCCATTGTGTCTTCTGGACACTAAAACTCGTCTGTGGACCAAATTCTCAGGCACAAATGAAGGATTATCTCAAGGTTACTAGTTATGCTTGTGAATGGCTGTGAAACCTTGCTGTTTGTTTCCAAGGATATTGCCCTTTTAGACCAAGCTTTTGTTTTCATGTTGCCGATAAACTAGATGTTGAGGGGGTGCCTGGGTGGCTCAGTAGGTTAGGCGACCTACTCTTGCCTTCCGCTCAGGTCATGATCTCGGAGTTGTGAAATCAAGCCCCGAGTTAGGGCTCCATGCTCAGCACGGAGTCTGCTTGGGATTCTCTCTCTCCCCCTTCCCCTCCCCCTGCTTTCACTCGCTCTTTCTCTCTAGAAATAAATAAATAACATATTTTAAAAAAAAAACTACGTGTTGAGGATTAAGACAATTATACCAATAGACGAAATGAAAAAATACTTTATTTCACAGGAAAAGCTGTTTAGACCAGATTACTTAAGGAGTTACATATAAAGATAAAACCATAGGGACAGAGCTTGTTACTTAACAATGTTAGAGGTTACATGCAGAGTGTTAAAGTCTTAGGAAGCATTTGTTTTGCTTTGTTTTTTTTTCTCTGAAAACAATGAAACAATGACCATCAGAACCCAACCTTCATCTTCCTTTTCCGCTCCCTTGAAGTAAACTCAAGGTAACCCATCACTGGGTCAGATCACATCTGTTTCCGTTCTGCCTGAGTTGTTAGCCTGACATTGGAAACAACAGTATGAGATAGTTCAATCTGTTTCCCAGTGAGATATCCTCATTATACCTGGTTGATGTGCCAGAGGAGTTAGATTAAAAGTCATTTCACGTTCAATGTAGTTGAAACTGGTTGGAGTTGGGGGGGCTACAAAATAACTTTCTTTACCTTGGTTTTTAGGGTAATCAAAATATGGGATTTACGTAAGAATTATACTGCTTATCGACAGGAACCCATAGCATCCAAGTCTTTCCTGTACCCAGGTAGCAGCACTCGAAAACTAGGTAAGCCTTTTTATACCCTATAGGACTTTTTTGGAGATGTGAGTTTTTGTTAAAATTTTAAAAATAAACATCAAGCTAGTTTTCAGCAACATAGACTTGAGATTAACATGTGGTTGTATCTTTTAGGAATTCAAAAGTTAAAAACGCAGAAGAATATTTTTGGTTTGTATATATTTGAGGGAAGAAGAATTCTGATAAACTTGTGGAATGATCTTCTTGCCACAACGTTGTCACCTCAGTTCTACTTGCTGTCATCAGGACGTGCTAACTAAAGTTTCCTTTTTCTAGGATACTCAAGTCTGATTTTGGATTCCACGGGCTCTACTTTATTTGCTAACTGCACAGATGACAATATCTACATGTTCAATATGACCGGATTAAAGACTTCTCCAGGTAAGATCTTAGCCATTTAAAATCTCTACCTGGAAAAATAAAATGAAATAAAATCTCTTAACCCAGAAACGAATGCAGAGGTTTTTGTTAATGATAATTTAATATTGATCTTTTTTTCTAAACCAAATTTTTTAAGACATCGGAGGGCTTTGGTGTCTTTGATTAGTTCCAGTGATATTTTCATAGGTGTATTTTCCTTGTGATATTTCACAAGTAAACAGAATCCTGCTGTATATGGTGACTTAATTTTATTTTAACAGTGAGTCTTTCCTGAAATTATGTCCCTTTGACTATATTTAGAATTGTCTCAAATTTTATAGGATATAGAAGGCTGTTCTCAGCTTTTGTCTTGTTCGGGGGTTGTTTGTTAAAATAAGGGGGCTGAATTTTTTAAGTCCCTAAATAGTTTTTATTTACCTCAGCCTTCTTAATGTTGAGCAGTGTCTATTTTATTTCTAGTTTTCCTCAACCTCACCTTTTTTTTCCTTTTCCTCCAATTACAATTGGAATCTGGTGTTTAAAGTTGATACATGGCACTTTAAAAAAAGAAATGAAAGTTTCTCAGGCATACTCTAAGAAGGTTTTTAGGGTTACATAATTTTAAGAACATTATCAATTATTTAGGCAAGCCACATATTAGTAACCTAGTTCTAGCTCTGTCAGAAACAGACAGATCCTGTAATCCCTAAAGCTGCCTACTTCCCACTAAAGTAAGATGTGCTGATAAATAAGAAATCTTAAAATAGTATAGACCTTAGCTAGGCTCTTACAGAAGTTTCCAAAGACTGCCCCAAGCCAGTATTAGGAGTTTAAGTTCTGTGACAGCTTCACAGTTGGTATTTCCAATGTCCTGGATTAGGTCTGTTGTTGTCTAAATAAGAGCAAGAGTATTTGGAAAAGGGAAGCAATTTATAACTTCTCCTGCTGTTTTCCTGAATGGAATCAGAACTTGGACAGCTTCTAATTTAGATAGTCATATAAAATAGACTTTTCAAAATCTTTCTCCAAAAGATAAAAGCATAATCCTAATTGTATTATCAAATGTACAAGAGCTCTGTCTGTGTCATTTTTTTGTAGTGTGGCCTTAAAGGGGGCCTTAAGTTTAGTCAAACAAATATGCCCAAGGCTACTTTACTAAAAATTTAGTAACCTTTTTCCTGTGCTCCTAAAATTATTTTATTGGCGCCTATAGATAGATAGGTAGGTCAATACGTTCAATACGTTCTTGAGATATTGAGTGACAGACAGACATGTGTATGACATTGGGTAATTGCTTATCTTTTTCAAAACTTCAGAAAGCATCCTGGGCTTAATACTTCATCTCCTGTACTTTTAACTTAATAGTGTTTTATTATACTAAGTGATGTTCATAAGGATGACTCTGAAGCACTTCATTGAAGCATTTTCGGAGCCCATATTATCAAAGAAAGATTAAGTTGAGCTAATCAAAGCCAATACAGGTTTCAGGATTTTTTGAATGGTTTGAAGCATTTGCAGTGTACTTGATTAATCCAGCAGAGGGCAATAAATACTTACAGGTATAGTGGGAAATTTGGTCTGTATTTTTCCATTCATAGTTAGAGTTAAGATAAACAATTATAGTTTTAGAGTTGTATTCAGAGCAAAGGACCCTGTTTATTTTGTGGGGATTTACCTATCACAGTAGATAAAAATAAAATGTATATCTGAATTGATTCCTATTCTGCTTAACATCCACAGTGGAAGTGTTGATGTGGAGAGTATTTGATATGTAGGCTTTTTCTTGAAAAGCTAGAAATGCAAAGTCTTTTTCCAATTTTGTTCTGGCAAAAGGAAGAGATTTCTGTGAGCACTAAAGGAAAGCTATTAAGTCCCTTGATAATTCTTACTTCCTTTCTGTTAAAAGATTGGAGTGAACTTTTTTTCCTGCTTAAATGTATCCTTAAATTTTCCAGTAACTAAGATTTTTTTCTTGTATTTCCTATTAGTGTTCTGATACCAGAGGCCTCAGGTTTTGGTCTTCTTAGGAAAGAAGAACCCATCAAGCACATTGTGCTAGATTGGATTACTTGCCCTTTTACCACAGACAGTAGGAAGTCTAAAACTGAAGGCTAACCCTAACCTAATTGGAGTTTCTTACCTACAAACATATAGCTTACCCCACTAGCTACTTCTTTTCAGCCTGCTTAAAGTTTTGGATTAAAAAGATTCCACAATAAATAAATAGATTGATTGATTCCCACATCCCAAATGAGCTATCCATAAATCTTAACTCTTTCCACTGATTCTTACCTATTAATGCAACAGATGTTTGAAGATCTCTGTTCAAAGCACTGTGAGGTATAGTGAGTAAAGAATAAAATACGAAATTTACCCTCAAGATTTGAAGTCTAAGAGGAAGAAGGACCAATGTATTGTAATAGGGAAAGCCCTATCCTAGTGTGGGGAAAGAGGGTCTAATAAAGGCATTTTACTAAAAGAGTGGACACTGGTTGTATTCTTCTTAAGAATGTTTTCCATCACTTTCTCTTCCATAGCCAGCTCCATACCAAGTATCTGGGCTTAGATCATGAGATTGGGTCTAATATAAAACCTCTTTCTGAGTCTTCCTTTACTTTTCTGCCAATGACCAGTTCCCTTTAATTTAGTGAATATAGCTTGACTATGTTTCAATATTCAATAGTTAATACACTAATAAAACTTATTAGAACATGTATACTTGTCTGCATTTATGTGAACACTAGAAATAACAAGAACCAAGTAATTTGTTGGGTTTTTTTTTCCCCCTCTGGCAGTGGCTATCTTCAATGGACATCAGAACTCTACCTTTTATGTTAAATCAAGTCTTAGTCCAGATGACCAGTTTTTAGTCAGTGGCTCAAGTGATGAAGCTGCCTACATCTGGAAGGTAAGTTACCAAACTTCCCTCGCAAATGTGAGACTAAAGTATTCTTACAAATATTTCTTCTCAGATGAGTAAGTTTAATGTAAACACATACTATTAACTTTTTCTACATTAGATGTTCAGTAAAAGTTGCTTCTTCTTAACAGCCAAAACTTACTCTGATTGTCAGAATATATCATACTTTCATGGCCAGAGATTCTCAGAAATTGATAATCCATGTACTCCAGCAGTGTCACAGATTATCAGGAAATTCAGAATTCAGAAGAATAGAACCTTAACTACCTTGTCCTGCTTCCTGGAAAAATCATGTCTGAACCACAAGGATTCACACAAACCACAAAGGATTGCCTTTCTACTCTGTGTTTTCAAACTCTTCATTCAAAATACAGTATTTTAATTCCCAGGATCCTATGCCCAAATCAACCATAGAGCCTTGCACAAAACACTAAAAGATATTTGTATGGTAATTGTGTTGTTTACTCTCTATTAAGTGGCTAGTCTTAAGGTTACTATAATAGATGTGGCTACTTTAATAGTTTTATATATATTTAATAGCATTACTTAACTTATTTTACAGATTCTATTTCTGTTCACAAGTTTATTTATTTTCTCTTTTTTCTTTTTAAATAACAGTGATTCCTAAAGTGACTACTGTAAGCTAAGAAATTTAAATTTGTCCATATAAGGTTCAGTGGAGAAAACTGAAATATCACACGAGTAGCCCTTGCTGACTACTCAAAAATAGCTCTTGTGGGACTAATTAGTTATAGAAATGTCTGAGAGTTCAGAGACATAAGAGCATCATGGCATTGTTTTCCAAGGGCTAGAAATTAATTATCTTCTAAATTGCCATGTAATATCATAAATGTCTTTGGTATTGGTGAATTGAATGATCAGAGTTAACGCATTTTGGATTTTTATTTTTTATTGTTATTTTTTTAAATTTATTTATTTGAGAGAGAGAGCAAGTGAGCAGGGGAAGGAGAGAGGGAGAGGGACAAGCAGGCTCTGCACTGAGTGCAGTGCCCCACATGGGATCCAATCCCACGACCCCAAGATCATGACTTGAGCTGAAATCGAGAGTTGGATGCCTAACCAACCAAGCCACCCAGGCGCCCCACATTTTGGATTCTAGAGTCATAATGTCTAAAACTTTATAGATTCATAGGTTCATTGTTATCAAATCCCTTCTCAAGAGGAAATTATGTCATTATTAGTCCTGCCAACCTCTAGGAAGTCGTATCTTTAATGTTGGCTTAGGATGGGGTAGAACCTGTCAAGTATGAAGCATAATTCTGCTTAATTTCATCTGGTCCTGGAGGACATACTAAAAATGACTTCTCTGTATACCTAGAGGTGCAAAAATACAACACAAACTTAAAAGAGTGTTTAGTGATTATATCCTAGATGGTCACATGGTGGAGATGTTGTTCTATCCAAGATGCTTTTTTGTGTTGTACTTGCCTCTTTCTATAAGCACATTTCTTTCATGTATTGTATTTTAAAATGAAAATTTGCTTATAAAATACATACCTGAGACTCTCATCCATAAGAGTTTGTACCTGGTTTCTTGTCTATAAAATTTTCTGACTTGAGTTTGAAACTTTAACGATATGTGTTACTAACACTAATGCTTTCTTCTTATATTTAACATTGGAGTTTTAAATTTGGTCTTAATGAATGCTGCTTATTTTACTATCTTTTTGTTTTTCCTTTCTCCTTCTCTCACTGTTTTATCTTCATTCCTTTTTTTATTATGGCTCCCAACTTAGCAGGAAGATTTTATTCCTACCAAAGTCTGTATCTTTTTAAGTTTTGTAATTCTTTAAAAAAAAAAATTACGCGAGAAACATAATGAAAGATTATGCAAAAAATATTTCTGCACTGATCATTTTTTAAAAATCATTTAAAATCAGTTTTTAATTATGCATACATAATTATGCATATGATTATATGTTCTACATATATGTGTTTGCAAGTGGATATGGACAGTTTTATTGTTGATTATGAAAGTTCCTCTCTAGCTATCTTCTCTAGTACAAAGGCTTTTTGTTTGTTTGTTTCAGGGAATGAGGGTTGAGATATAGTTTCTCTCTCTAAAGACATGCAGTAAAGAAACTTGGCTGTTGTTAGTAACCCATTTTCAGATATCCAGTCAGGGGCTATCACATACATGGGTGACCCTTTCTAAATTCCTAGGCTGGGTCACATGTCAGTGCTGAATGATGTGGTTCAGACGTGATGTTCTCCTGCCTGTCCACACATAACTCAGTGTGCAGGCTCTGATATTTGAGATCCTGGCAAGCTTACTGCTCCTAAAATTGAATTTGCCTAGTGAGGTGGCTCAGTTTCTCTTTTCCATGATTAAAAAAAAGGGTGGGGGTGTAGTTTAAAAACCATTCCATGCAAGCTGAGTATCATGCTATTAGGTTATCTCGTAGCTCTGCTATGTTTCCAAAAGGTCAGAATTCTCTCAAGTGTTGGGATTTTTCCTATGTTAAAAAGCCCATGGGCACAAGAAAACAGTGAAAGAAAAGAGATGCAGATCTTAAGACAGAAGGGAATGGCCTTTTAATCTTTATCACTGCTCAGCAAAAGGGAGGTGTAATATAGTTAGACTTTCTGATACTAAGGACCAAGACTTAAAAATAGAAACAGTTAATATATTTTTTTATTTTTAATTTCTTACCCTTTGTCCCACCCCTTCCTCTCCCCTCCCTTCCCTGGTTCATTTCTGTTATAGCCACTGAATAGTATTGAAGTGGTTATAAATAAACTCATTTGGCACAGTCATTCTACCGCTGACTGGTGAAACATTGAGCCTGACACTTTAGGAAGTGTAGATGATCTCATGGCAGAAATAAAGATGAGATTTGGTTTCTGACTGGGCAGAGTAAAGAGATTTTTTGAGGAAAGGTGCCGATCTTTTTTGCATGTTTAAGGATACAGAATGTTTTATTAGATGTGTAGCTTAGAGCCAGTTATTTCTAGTGGTAACCTTCGTAGTTCTAGGAGTTTTAACTTGGGGATTCTTCATGTCTTGAATTAAAGTCTATGTAACAACTAGAATATGTAAGAAAGGACAGTTTTCTGTGTTTTGACCCTCTCCAGAATGCATAGGTGTAAATGTCTCTTGGACCTAATAGTTTCCTCTAATTACTTAAAAGTAGAGGGAGGTTTTTACAAAATGAAATCCTGTAATTACAGTAATGTTTTATCATAACAAAGTGACAATAAAAACTTATTTGAATAAAAATGAAGGATTTAAAAACAAGTTGAGTTTCACTAGGGGAAATTCATCTTCTTTGAAGTAGTCAACAAGTATACTATACCATGTAGGGTAGTCCTAAACTGTGAAAGCTCCTGTAATTACCATTCATACAAACTTGCTGGACATGAGTACTCATTTCAGCCCACAACATGCCCTTCTCTCCACCCCTTTTTTTTTTATTGAGATAGAATTCACATAATATAAAATTCATCATTTTAGTCATTTTTAAACGTACAGTTGATTTTGAGTAGCCATCGCCACTGTCTCATTCCCAGACATTTTCATTACTCCAAAAAGAAACACTGTACCCTTGAAGAGTCACTTTTCATTCTCCTCTGCCCTCAGCCCCTGGCAACCACTAACCTATGTTCTGTCTGTGGATTTGCCTATTCTGGACATATCCTATAAATGGAATCATACAATATGTGATTTTTTATGTCTGGCTTGTTTCACTGAACATAATGTTTTCCAGATTTGTTGTTGCACATATCAGTACTTCATTCCTTTTTATGACTGAATATCCATTGTATGGATAGACCACATTTTATTTATCCATTTATTAGTTGGTGGACATGTGAATTATTCCACTTTTTGGCTTTATAAATAAAGCTACTATGAACATTCATGTACAAGTTCCTGTTTGAACATATATTTTCAGTTTTTCTGTGTGTATACCTAAGAATAGAATTGCTGCGTCCTGGGGCGCCTGGGTGGCTAGTCGGGATTGAGCGTCCATCTCTTGATTTCAGCTCAGGTCATGATCTCCAGGTCGTGGAACTGAGCCCCATATTGGGCTCCTTGCTGGGCAGGGAGTCTGCTTGAGATTCTCTCTCTCCATCTCCCCCTTCCCCCCTACCCCCATTCATGTGCGCACGTGCTGTCTCATTCTCTCTCTCAAATGGATGAATAGAGCTTTAAAAAAAATTGCTGGGTCATATAGTAATTAATTCTGTGTTTAACTTTTTGAGGAACCTTCCCCCTACTTTAATGCTATACGAAGTGCCTGCCTCAACAAATGCTGACTTTTATTGTCATTATTATTCCTACCTTATTACCAGTTTGTAAAAAGTTTTTCCAAGGGATCTTTTGTTTTTTCTTTTAGATCCTATAGATAAATGCAAAAAAATGTGCATATATTCTATTGGCAGATGTTTGGTTTTCTTGAGATTTATTTTAATCCTTTGTGTACATGTTTAGGTTCCCTTAGGTATTATAATGCCTAGAAAATTGAAGAAGAGGTAGTATCTTGAAATGACAAGCTAGAGGCCACAAGCAGAGTAAACCAGTGGAGTAGAATAATGTGTTCCTACCAGGGAGGGTCAGTCAAGAGGACATTAGGATTTTCTCGCCTTTTTAATTTGCTGCTACCTGGCCTGCTTGGGCCTTGGGTGAAGAGAAATTTAATGGGCTGGGGCCATCCCAAATGCAGGAGGAAGGAAAATTTCTGTGGCTCCTGAGATAGTTAGAGACTATCTTGAAAGTCTTTCCTAAAATATGCTACCTTGTGAGAGAATGAGTTATTGTTCTCTGTGCCATTGTAGGAGGCAAAAAGTGAGATCCTTTTGGATAATACTCAGGAAAAAGCTTTTTCTGTTAAACTCTAATTAACCCAGCAAGGCAAATTAGATTCTACTCTTTCTCGTCTTTTGCTTTTTGAATCATTACATGTGCCATTTAACCCAAGAGAGGAGTAGTAATAATTGAGTTGGATGACCTTATGAATCAGTGTGTTGACTCTCTTCACTACAATTGAAGGAATCTATTAAGTTTTCTTAGTCATTCTCTGCAAATATTCTTTCCAGAGTCACCTCCACTTTCTTCATACAGATGAGCAATGATTCATAGCCTCAGGAAAATTAAAAGAGAATAATTTTTTTTTCCAAACACATGCTAATAATAGTTATGTGAGTTTATATGCCATAATGTGCTGATTAATTCCCATGGCCTCTGAAAGGGATTGACAACTCTTGAATGAGTCAACTGTCAAATGCATATCACTAGTAGCATCCAGTGAGGGGGGAAATCTGATCCTTTGTCACGTGTATAGTACTGCACAATCTGACCCTTCTTGATTCATTAAGATGTGGCAGTACTTAACTGAAAATTCAAGATTTCTTTAAGCAAATTTACCAAAATGAAATTTTAGGGAATTTTTTTTTCGCAAAAAAAAAGTGCCATGTGGAAGTGCCATATAAAAGTATATAGTTTATATTCCTTCAAAATGAAGGGGTATAATTTTAGGGACTTTGGTAAAAATCAGTGAGTCTTTTGGATGAAAGACTGTCCTCTTTTCAGAGGAGAACTGGTAGCATGTCTGAGATGCCTTCAGCACTTATTTAATGTAGTGTTCCTGAAAGTAGCTGATTAGAGAAGATCTGAAAATGTCTAGGCTATGTAAAAACAGGACTCCACTTGAAGTTCATACTACCTAGCAGCTGAACCCTATCCTTATAGAAAGTTTACCAGCTAAGAGGTGAGGAAGAATGTCATTCTTGAATTTTAGTCAAAATATATATAGCTAGGTAGTCTTGAATTGAAATAAGACCTGTCCTGGTATTTAAGTTCATATTATTTACTTATTTTGGCTCTTTTCATTCTGTTTTCTCAGATCAATGACAGAAATACTTTTATTGCCCACTGGGACTCTTTTCTGAGCTATAACTAGGCATACCTAGAGAGAACTTTGGTAACAACCCTGAAGCTCTGTAAGACACAAATATGGAGAGGTTCAAAGGCTCTATCTGGAAGACCTAATACTGCTCTGCTGACTTGTTTTTTCTTTTTTGATGGTGTGATAGGTCTCCACACCCTGGCATCCTCCTACTGTGCTCCAGGGTCACTCTCAAGAGGTCACATCTGTGTGCTGGTGTCCATCAGACTTCACAAAGGTTTGTAAATAAATTTCTGTCATTGGTTTAAAAAGTAGATCACAGATTTGTAGATTTTCCCAAGGTTAGTTTGAGAGTTACACACTCTTATGCTTAGAGATTGAAAGATCTAGAGGCCATCCAGGATCTATGTCAGCATTAACCATACATATTCTACTTTTCTCTACCAATAGGAATAAAAATGGATTTTTTTTTTATTTAAACTCAGTTAATTAACATATATTATTGGTTTCAGAGGTAGAGATCAATGACTCATCAGTCTCATATAATACCCAGTGCTCATTACATCACATGCCGTCCTTAATGTCCATCACCGTTACCCCATCTCCCATCCCTTCCCCTCCAGCAACCCTCAGTTTGTTTTCTGTGATTAAGAGTCCCTTACGGTTTGTCTCCCTCTCTGATTTCATCTTGTTTTATTTTTTCCTCTCTTCCCCTATGATCCTGTTTTGTTTCCTAAATTCCATGTATAAGTAAGATCATATGATAATTGTCTTTCTCTGATTGACTTATTTCACTTAGCATAATACCCTCTAGTTCCATCCACGTCATTGCAAATGGCAAGATAAGAATGGATTTCTTGATTCCCTAGAGTAATTTCTTTCCTAAACATAGAATTAAGTTTTTTTTTTTTAAGATTTTATTTATTTATTTGAGAGAGAGCATGAGAGGGGGGAGGGTCAGAGGGAGAAGCAGACTCCCTGCCAAGCAGGGAGCCCGACGCAGGACTCGAGCCTGGGACTCCAGGATCATGACCTGAGCCGAAGGCAGTTGATTAACCAACTGAGCCACCCAGGCTCCCTAGAATTAAGTTTTTAATGTAATTAAATTTCATCTGAAAATCTAAGGTAAAAAGAAAATCTAAGGGGCGCCTGGGTGGCTCAGTCGTTAAGCGCCTGCCTTCGGCTCAGGTCATGGTCCCAGGGTCCTGGGATCGAGCCCCGCATCGGGCTCCCTGCTTGGTGGAGAGCCTGCTTCTCCCTCTCCCACTCCCCCTGCTTGTGTTCCCTCTCTCGCTGTGTCTCTCTCTGTCAAATAAATAAAATCTTAAAAAAAAAAAAAAAAGAAAATCTAAGGTGGGAAAACTAGTTTTTATTAACTTTCTACGTATTATCAATGTGGTATATTAAATGTAACATCTTGACTGTCCTTCACAGTCCAATTTAGTTTTCACATGCCTAAACCGTGCTTACTGTGAAGTCGTAATGTGTTAGGTTATCTATGGCTACACTATGTAAGTGGCTCCAAAATGTTTTAGACATTTTTCACTTAAAAAAAATGTTTTTACAATAATACTTAAACAAAATACCTGAAATGTAAAAAGGCCAGAAACATAAACTTTGTGAATATGTAGGGATTTCATACAATTGTGGCCCAAGTTCCACTAATTCTCCTAGTCCCTACTGCCTCTAGTCTTTGGGTTATTTGGGGTTTACAAGAAATAGCACTTCTGTGGTTATCTCCCCTTTCATTTATGACATTTTGAGGTTTTGTTCCCATCTGTTTTTTATCTTCCAGAAACTTCTTATGGTCTGGTCTACTCATGGCATCCCTGCTAGCTTTCCAGTACTGCTGTGGATTTCTTTTTATTTCTATATCTGTATAACCATTTCTGTGGTCAGCCTTATGATAGACTCTTTTTTTTTAACTCGTTGCTTTAATCACCAATAATTAAATCCTAATGACATTTTTCTTCTGAGATTCCATGTAACTTCCAGTGAAATATCTGCTTTTAACATGGAGTTTTGTATCTTTGGAGAACTAAGAGAGTTTTTTAATTACTCAGTTATTTGTGTTCTCTTTTTTCAACTATCATATATTGCCCTTAACTATATGCACAGAAAAGACTCATAGGTAATGACAGGGCTGTTTACCTATACTAATCTAATGACCACTACTTTAAAAGTTTTTGTTTGTTTGTTTTAATAACTTTGTTCCCAGCCTAGAGTTAAGAAGGTAAAATATGGTTTTATTTTTTAATTTTTTTTTTAAAGATTTTTTTATTTATTCATTCAAGACACAGATACAGAGAGAGAGAGAGAACATGAGCAGGGGGAGAACCAGAGGGAGGGGGAGAAGCAGGCTCCCTGCTTAGCAGGGAGCCTGATGCGGGGCTCGATCCCAGGACCCTGGGATCATGACCTGAGCCGAAGGCTTAACCATCTGAGCCACCCAGGTGCCCCTAAAGTATGCTTTTAAAATCTAGCCTTTGAAATTGGAAAAATTTAGATTTCAGTTCTAGCTCTGCCACTTAATTGTGGTGACCTTGGGCAAATAACTTTATTCTTATTTTGTAGATGAGGTTATTTGAGTTCAAGGCTTTTTACATTGTGAGAATTAAACAACATAAAATATGTAAATTGTCAGACTCACAGTAGGTGCTCTGGAAATAATTCTTGTTAATAGACCATAGAGTAACTGGGGATTCCAGGCATTTCTTGTAGAGCAGTTAAATATGTGTGTCTTCTTTTGGCCTCCCAGTAAGGAAAGGAAAAAGCTGCCAGTCTCTGGGGGCCAAGATTTAAGAAGAACGTGTGTTCTTTTTTTTCTCTCTCTTCATGACTGAAATAGAGAAATTATATAAACAAATGCTGGGGAACAGCTCTGGTACCAGTGGCCATTTGCCACAAGCTCTTCAAGCTGGACTTTCTCTGCCATAAAAGGCTTGGGACCAAGATCAGGAATGGTCAGATATTTTTAAAGGGGCAAAGGTTATTTTTAACTTCTTTCAGCCTAGTGAACTTGTTGTTTTCCCAGATTACTCCTTTACCTATCTGAAAAAGAATCTCAAAGGAATGGTTTCATTCTACTTGTCACAGCCTACTAGAGTCACCGACTAAGCCTGATCTTGGAAATGATCCCATTATTTCAGCAGTAAGCCAGAACATGTAGAATTCAGAAGAAAGTGGTAGAAATTGAATGTTGGTGGCATACACTGGTTTATCATTTAAGAGAGGAAATAAAAAAGGTGTCGTAATTATTTATTTCATAGTTATATAGAAGGTGATGAAGATGATGACTTGCCCAGGTTTTTGAACCTGAATTTATAGTAGGGCTTTAGGTCAGGTAAGACATGACTGGTAACGAAAGACATACCATCAGAATTATAAAGAAACAAGAGTTCTTTGGAAATTTGGAGTGATTCCTGAAAGCAGGGGATGAAGTATATGATCATTTTCTACATCCTGGTATATTAGATGGAATAATTCTCTAGTCATGAGTCCTTAAGATCTACTTTTTACTTTGTTGTAAATCTTTGACTGAAACTTCTTAACTCCCTTCCTGATTCTCATTAGATTGCTACCTGCTCTGATGACAATACACTGAAAATCTGGCGGTTGAATAGAGGCTTAGAGGAGAAATCAGGAGGAGATAAACTCTCCACAGTGGGTTGGGCTTCTCAGAAGAAAAAAGAAGCGAGAGCTGACCTAGGTAAGGATCCCGTGCATTTTTCTACATTGTTTATGGTTTGATTGGTTTCATTCTACAATACAGAGTGATAAGCTAAATTTGATCTTGTTTGGTATATTTTTAAAGGAAAGCACCATCTTTTTGACATTCATTCTTTTCAATAAATATTTTCTGAGCGCTACTAGGTTTATCATCTACACGAGGCACTGGAATACAGTGGTGGATTTACTTTCAAAGTATCAAACACCTGCGATGTGCTAGGCATTGCTCTGAGTTGCTGGAGTTTTAGCAATGAACAAAAGAATCAAAAATCCCAAGGATGTAAATGAAGCTTACAGATTAGTATGAGAGGCAAAGAAACAAGTTAAAGTAAAATATGTACTATGTCAGCTAATAATAAATACTTCAGAAAAAAAGGAATACTGGAAAATTAGGTGCCCAGGGAGGCCTCAATGTTTAGATGACATTTGAGTAAGGGAAGTGAAATAGCCATGTGCACATTTTGAAGAACATTCCAGGCAGATAAAACAGCAAGCACAGAAGCCCTGAAGCAGGAGTAGGCCTGACATTTTTTGTTCCTCGAGGAGGCTCATGTGGCTATAGCCCCTGTGACTGGAGCAAGCTAAGGAGAGGGAGGGGAATAGTAATGGAAAATGAGGTTCTTAGATGATTTGGGCTTTTATTCTGACAGATAAAAAGCTATTGCAGGGTTTTAAATGCAGGAGTATCATGATCTGACTTTTCCTAGCTTGATCATTTTTACTCCCGTGTTGAAAACAAATTATAAAGGTACCAGTGTAAAAGCTGGAAACTAATTGTGAAGTCCTTTGAAATAATCCAGGAAGCAATGATGGTGACTTGGACAGAGGGGTAGCAAAAGATATGGTAAGAAGTCTTCAAGTTCTGGATATATTGTAAATATAGTGCGGAATCAGATATGAGATGTAAGGGAGAGTTATCAAGGATCACTTCAGAGTTTAGGACTTGAGAAGCTAGGAGAATGGAATTGCTATTAACCTAGATAGGAATCATTGCAGAAGAAACAGGTTTGGGAGGGAATAGCCAAAGTTCCATTTGGATATGTTGTTTGATACAATTATTAGACATTCAAATGAAGAGGTCAGAGAGGGGGTTAGATGTTTAATTCTGCAGTTCGAGGCTAGAGCTGTAAATTTGGGATTCATCATATAGGTGAAGGAAGCTATAGTTAAGAAAAGAGGATAGATCTAGGCTCTGACCCTTGGAATACCCCAGTGTTTAGAGATTGGAGGGGTGAAGGAACAGACACAACCAGAGATAGAGAAAAATCAGGAGAGTATTGTATCCTGGAAGCCAAGTAAATAAATGGAGAGGGGGATGAATTTGGTCAATGTTTTTAGCATTCCATGTAAAAATTGGCCTTTGGATTTGGCAATATGGGGATTATTTGGTGACTTTAATAAGAGCGGTTGGCAGAGTGTCAGTGTCTGATGGGTGTTAAGGAGGATCAGAGAAGAGAACTCGGAGCCTATAAGTATAGAGGGTTCCTTCAAGGACTTTTTGCTAGAAAGAAAAGGAGAGAAATGAAGTGGTAGCTGAAGGAAGAAGCAGTGTCAAAATTTGTTTTTGTTTTGTATTAATAGGAATATAGCATTTTGTATGTGACCGGAAGGATCCTATGGAGAGGGGGAAACTTGATGCAGGGAAATTTGCTGGAGCAATGTTCTCAAGTGTGAGGGGGTGATATCAAATTTACAAGTAAAAGGGTAGGCCTTTGCCAGGGGTGTGGAAAGTTCATCCATAGTAATTAGAGAAAACGTAGAATATATAAGCCCAGTGAAGGTAGGTGGATAGATGGGATGGTCAGAACCTGTGGAAGTTGATAGCTTCTCTTTTCTTAGCTGAGATAGGAATCGAGATCATCAAGTGAAAATAAGGATAAGGGAGGAGGTGGTTGAGATCCGAGGAGAGATAAGAAAGTGTGACATGAATCATGCAGAGAAAAGAAGAGTAAATGGACTGGGGAAATATGGTTGTTGGGCTGTGGGTCAACTTGAGGCTAGTAGCCATGAATTAAAAGTGAGCAGTCAGCATGGTTGTGTGTCTGCTGCCCAGGTACAGTTACACTGTAGGTGGGGAGTTGCATTTAACCAGGGATGTGGTTTAAATCCACAAGTGTGAAGTGAGGGGGGGCCAAGGAAGTGGAAGGTAGATATGAGAGGATGACTATAATGACTGACTACAGGATTGAAACTGGGTGAAGAGAGAAGTGAGGATATAGTGGCACTCGGGGGACAGTATCGAAGTGGGAAGATGATGAATTGAGATCCCCTGAGGATGAAGGGTTTTTGGAATTGGAATTTGGAATTGCTCACAAAAGTGAGCTGGAAAACAGGTGGTGATTGAAATTGGGAAAATGGAGGATTTGCAGGTTGGTAGTAATAAGGTCAAGGAATAAGGGGCTTGAGTGAGTGAAAGGACAAGGCTATTAGAAGGAGGCCAAGAGACAGAGCAAGCAAGGTATTGGAAAGATCATGAATGTGGATTTTGTAATAACCGTGAATTGACAAGAGACAGTGTTGGAGAGTGGGACAATGCACCAAGAGCAGAAGTCTTCCAAGCACTGAGCCAGCCAGAGGGGATTCTGATGTTATCAATAGAAAAATAGTAGTAAGCTTGAAATTCAAGCTTAAAGATTCATTTTACATTAGCCATCAAGGCCTAAGGTAATGGGGAGTTGAAGGTGAGACCAATTATATGCTCATTTTTCTAGTGACTTATTTATTTAGTCTCTTACAAGTTGTTATAAGCAGAACTGGACTCCAGAGGGGTCTTTTGTTCTAAGTCTACTTCAGTAAAACCTTTGATGCCTTTATTTTTGGTTTTTGGTTTTTCCTCTCTTTAAAAAAATTTTTTTTATTAGTATCATAGTTTAACAAGTCAACTAGTTCTACAGCAGTGAATAAGATAAAAAGCAGTCCCCAGACACCCTGCCCCACAGTTCCCCTTTTTCAGGGGTAGCCACTGTCAAATCTTTTAGCTGATTCTTTGATGTGTATGTCTATATCTCTAAATAATATTTGTGCATTTCTATTTCTTTAGGGTTTTGTTTTATTTTGTTGCAGTTTTCAACATTATCTGTTGACTTCTTACTATGTGAGATGAGGATTTAGCTGTCTGTGCGTCCACCACTACCAAACCTCTGCATGCTCCGCATTCCCCTATCTTCCCAATATAGGATCATAATTTTGGTTTGATCAAGAGTATTATTATTTTTTTCTATTCAGAAAGGAGTTACATACTTTTTATTTCCTGTACTTTTTTTCCCCTTGAGGCTTTTTTTTAGAGCCTTGTCAAGGTATAGTCACATATCACAAGTCCACCCATTTAAAGTATACAGTGCAGGGTCTTTAGGATGGTCAGAGTTAGGCAGTCATCAACACAATCTAATTCTAGAATTTTTTCAGCATCCAAAATTAGGGTTCCAATTTCTCTGTATCCTTATTAGCACTTCTTATTGTTTGTCTTCCTAATATAGCCCTTCTAGTGAATGTAAAGGGGTATCCCATTGTGGTTTAAATTTGAATTTCTCTAATAGCTAATGATGTAAAGCATTTTTTCATGTGCTTATTTGCCATTTGTATATTTTCTTTGGAGTAATGTTGAGTTATAAGTGTTCTTTATATACTCTGGATATAAGCCCCTTGTCATACAATGATTTGAAAAATCTTCTCTTATTCTATAGGTTGTCTTTTTACTTGCTTAATGGTGTTGTTTGATACAAAATTTTCTAATTTTGTTGAAATCCAATTTATCTGTTTTTTCCTTTGTCATTTGTGCTTTTGATGTTGTATCTAACGAAACCATTGCTTAACTCAAGGTCACAAAGATTTACTCCTATGTTTTATTTTAGGAGTTTTTTAGTTTTAAGGCTCTCTGGTCCATTGTGTGTTTATTTTTGTGTATGATGTGAGGTAAGGATCCAAATTCAGGCTTTTATACATGGATATCCAGCTTTCTCGGTATCATTTTTATTTTTTATTTTTTTAAATATTTTATTTATTTGACAGAGAGAGAGAGAGTGAGAGCAGGAACACAAGCAGGGGGAGTGGGAGTGGGAGAAGCAGGTTTCCCGCTGAGCAGGGAGCCAGATGTGGGACTCGATCCCAGGACTCAGGGATCATGACCTGAGCCGAAGGCAGATGCTTAACTGACTGAGCCACCCAGGTGCCCCTCTCAGTATCATTTTTAAAAGAGACTATACTCCATTAAATTGTTTTCACACCCTTGCCAAAACTTAATTGACCATAAATGTAAGGGTTTATTTTTAGATTCTCATTTCTGTTCCATTGATGTATATGTCTATCCTTATGCTGATAGCACATTGCCTTGATTATTGTAGCTTTGTAGCAGGTTTGGAAATCGGAAAGTCTGAGTCCCCCAATTTTCTTCTTTTTCAAAGTTATTATGACTATGCTTGTCCTCTTATATTTCTATACGAATTTTAGAGCCAGCTTGTCAATTTCTGCAAAATAGTCCTCTAGGATTTTGATATGGATTGCATCAAATCTATAGCTCAGTTTGGGGAATACTGCCATCTTAATGATGTGTTAAGTCTTGTGATCCATGAACATGGATGTCTATTTGCTGCCTTGTCTTTATATTTACTTATCTCTCCCTAATTTTGGAAAATGAAAAAGCGAAGAATCGTATGAGGAAAAAGCCATCAGTGTTTCCACCACTCACAATTTTAATTAATATTTTAACTTATTTTTTGAGATTTTCCTCCTTTTCCACGAAGAGATTCTTATCAACAGAATCATGTTTACACTGTAAATACATTTGGATTTCTTGGGGATGTTTTCACTGAACATGATGTCCTAAGCACTTTCTGTTATCTTTTTAGCAAAATATTTAAAATAGTCCACTGAGTAAATGTTCCATAGTTTATCTAGCTATTCTATCATAGTTGGACATTTTGTTTCCAATATTTTGTGAAAATTTTTTTCTGAATTAAGGGTTCCTTCATCCCATTAAAATAGATTCCCAGAGGTGGCATTTCTGTGTTAATTGCAGTAACCATTTTAAGAGTATTAATGAAAAGTGAGTTGTTTAAGTATTTTTAGTGTGTCATTAATTATTCTTAGTTTTGGAAACCAAGTCACAAAAAAAGTTACATATGTTGACTAAGTTTGGACCAAAATAATAACAACAACAATGTTTAGCCATTATTGAGTATTAGCACAATCATTCTAGGGACCCACATGGATTATCTTATTTAGTTCCCCAAACAACCAAAACTGAAGCTCAAGGAAAGACTTGCCTCAGATCACACAGCCTTGAAGTTGTAGTAGAACCAGAGTTTAAACACTTGCAGCCTGGGTTTGGAGCACATGCTTGCAAGCACTCTGCAGTACTGCCTCCTTTAGAACTCAACACAGGAAAGCAAAATTTGAGTTAAGACCTGACCAAGAGGGGCACCTGGGTGGCTCAGTTGGTTGTCTGCCTTCGGCTCAGGTCATGATCCCAGGGTCCTGGGCTCCAGCCTGCTTCTCCCTCTCCCTCTACCACTTCCCCTGCTTGTGCTTTCTCTCTCTCTAATAAGTAAATAAAATATTTTAAAAAAAGAGAAAAAACCTGACCAAGAGTTATGCCTAGATTTCTCCACTTCTGGATGCTGCTAGAGTTCCTCTGAAGAGCACTACAGAGCAGCAACCCCACGTGAATGCCAAGGGCTGGCACATTGGCTATTCAACCCTGTAGCCCAGCTTCCAGCAACAGATTGGCTGCTGCTAATCACACTTCAATTTTGAAAATTATGGTCCTCTGCTTTCCCAACTTCTAATTGTCACCCCAAGCTTCACTGCTATCCTGGGCTTCATATCTTCTCTTCTGGCCCTTTTATCACAGCAGCCAGAAGGCTTTAAACTCAAGGCACGGCCACTTTTCCCTCTGCCCTACTTTTCCCAGCCAGCACCTGCTCTGTCACTTCCTGGTGTTTCACTGTTTCGGCCAACAATCTCAGCACTGTCGAGGTGAATGGTTCTTAACCCCAGCTGTGCATCATAACCAGTGGTGGAGCTTTTTAAAAGTTTGTGTATCCCCAGATAGGTCTGGGGTGGGGACCAAGTACCTGTATGTTTATAAAGCTCCAAGTAATTCTGTTATGTAGCCAGGATTGAGAACATCTGGTTTAGGCATTATTGAATGACAAAGATGATTGTCTTTATATTAAAGGAAAGAAACCTTACCTGTTTTATCTCATGTGCTTGCTATAGTCTCACCAGTCAGCAGAATACTTAGAGTCTGTTTTTTGATGCCTGGAACCTCCCCGTCCTCTCTCAGCAGTAATGACATTTAACAAAAATTGTTTAATAATTCCTTGCTGGGTTGCAATAGGGGCACTAGACTTAAAAATGAGTAAATCATCATCACCTTCCCCTTAGGTGCTCACAGTCTAGTCCAGGAGGCAGATACAAAAGCTGTGGTACATTATTAACATTGCTCCTAGCTATATAAACAAAAGAACCTACTTACTCTGGGAGAGGAGGAAAGAAGTTTGTGAATTCTTCACAATGAAAAGAAGTTTGTGAATTGTGTAACAATGAAGTTAACGATGTCATCAGAGCCTGAAACATGAGAATTTTTGCCTGGCCAAGAAGGGACAGACTTGGCAAGAAAGCCACATGAACAAAGACAGAGATGTGACATTGTGCAGCTTGTTCAGGAAGCAATGAGTAGTCTCCTGTAACAGGATCCTAAAGTAGCAGAGTACATGATATGACTGAAAAGGTGGGGTGAGGCCAGATGGCAAACCCTATACAGAAAGGAGCTGCAAAGTGACCAATTATTAGTAAGCTCTCTATAATTCCTCAAAGGAACTGACTTTCAGGAAGCTTTTAGGATAGTAAAGCAGTCTATGCTACCGTGTCATCAGATCTCGTGCAGTCCTTAGGGTCAGTGGAAATTCAGTAGATGATGTGCTAAATGGGCATGTCATATTAAATCGATGGATTAGTATAATGACATACTGTATAGCTGTTAAAAAGAATGCAGTACATCTAACGTACTTGTAGAGATATAGAGAAAAAGATAACACTTTTAAGAGAAAAGAGCAAATTGCAGAATGTATGTGGGGGAGTATGTGGTGTATGTGTGTTTTTAAAGTATGATATGCCTTGTGTGTACTAACAGGCATATAGAAAATTGTGAGTTGCACAAGAACATGAGTAAAATGAGAAGATTAAAAAGAGGACTTTTTACTTTTCACCTTATTCCCCTCTTTAACTGTTTGGTTCTTCTTTTTATCATGAACTTTATTATCTTAATAATCTAATTACTATTTTTAAAAAAAGATTTAAATTTGGCCTAGAGTTTTGTTAGCCTTCCAAGTTAAAATCTTCTCTTTGAACCCCCATGGTCCACTCCCTCTTTCATTTTAACATCCTAAAGGAAGAGAAATGCCCTAGCTTTCTACCACATCAGATCCCCCGCTGACCTTTAGTAAACACTTCAGAAACTTAGATATCTGTGTGGCCCAAGCCCAGCTGCCCCTGGCCCAGCTTTTCCTTCTCCCCTAATCCTGTCTTCGAATCTGCATGTTGTAAGACCCATACTATTTTAGGACTTTCTGCCTTAACCATACCCTTCAGCCCACTTTAATGGAACTAAAGACTACAGGGGCTATGTAGTGACTGTTGACCTGCACTGAGGAGTGAAACAAATGAAAAGTTTCTGTCCTCCTGAAATAATAACAAATCAAGCTCTAGAACATGAGTATGAGAACTATGACCAGATGCTTCAGGGACAGGTCCCTGTCACTAATTTCCCTTGTATAGCGTGTTAGGACAAAAATGGGGGTTTCCAGTAATGACGCATTGAAGGAGCAGTATCACTTTGGCCATTTCTAAACATATGGTTGATGGGAAAAGTTTAGGCAAAAGTCAGTTTGTAGAATTTCTCCGTTGCAAGGCAAAACTGCTTGATTAGTAAAAAGCACAGGGTAGAACATAAAGGGTAACTAAATGCCTGAAATTAATGCTTGTAAATCTGTATTCTAGTTAAAAGAGAGATTGTATTTTTATGTCAGCTCATTTTAAATTCAATTGTATATAAATGCAATTCAGTAATTAAACTGAATTAAATATCAGAGTGATAATTCAAAGAGTTTGTGACTTAGAAAATAAACTGATGGCCTTTCCTTGTTATTGGAGATAGGAACACTTTTTCAGAAATCTACAAAGCTCAGAAGGAAAGTAAGAAAATACAGAGCTGTCTGTGGTGGGGCCCAAGGGGGAAGAAGCATAAAGTTTATAAGAATTTGCCTAAAGTACTTGCCATTGCTTGTAAACAAGAGACAGGACACATAGAGAAGAATTCTATCCACTGTTTCATTTGTTTTACTAAGCACAAGCAAGCATTTAGTTTCTAAAATGTTCTTTGGCATTCTTTGGCTTGTAGAAAGTAGCCATTTGTAAATTAAGGTGGAAAACCAAGTGAAACCTAATAACCTTAACAAGTGTTTGATGGGGTTATTTCTTGTGGAGATTAAAAGCTCTCCATTTAACAAATATGGAAACTGAAGTAGAGGAGGTAAAGGGTTGTGTTCAAGTCAATAGTAAATGAATGTGCCAAATTTTAGACCAGGACACTTCTGTTTGGGAGCCATTGTGCAGTGCCTCTCTGCCCTAGCATTGCTGAAAAGTATATACGGGAATCCTAATGGCAACTTTACTTATGAAAACAAAATATCATTAACAACCTGATGTCTAACTGTTACCTTAGAATACTTGGTAGCTATTAAAAATGATAATATAAATCTATATTAATGTGAGAAATAGTCATGATATGCTAAGAAGCAGATTACTAAATAGTATATACATTATGGTCTTGTTTTTGTATAGAAAAATTTGAAGTATATAATGTATATATTACATGCACAAGTATAGAAAAAATGCTAAAAGTGGTTTACCTGAATACTTTGAATTTTTTTTTAATTTTTCTGTATTTTCTAGATTTAAAAGTATATGTTTTACAACAGTGGTTGGGAGGCTGGCAGTTAGGAAAGGGGAAGGAAAATGTTGCAAGGGTGTGTTAACAATCCAATGATCTATGTAACCTACTCACTGGGAAACCCATTTCTATATGAGTAAGTTAGCTATAATCTTCCTTGATGAGAATTCAGGAATTTTCTATGACTTTCACTTCTGATTTTTGTGACCCTCTTTTTTTTTTTTTTCCCAGTGACAGTGACAAGTAGCCAGAGTACTCCTGCCAAAGCGCCCAGAGTAAAGAGCAGTCCATCCATTTCCTCCCCATCATCAGCAGCTTGTGCTCCAAGCTGTGCAGGAGACCTCCCTCTTCCTTCAAATACTCCCACATTCTCTATTAAAACCCCTCCTGCCAAAGCCCGGTCTCCCATCAGCAGAAGAGGCTCTGTCTCCTCTGGCTCTCCCAAGCCACCCTCATCTTTCAAGATGTCCATTAGAAACTGGATGACCCGAACACCATCCTCATCACCACCTATCACTCCACCTGCTTCTGAGACCAAGATCACATCTCCAAGGAAAGCCCTCATTCCTGTGAGTTTGAAATCATCCCAAGCAGTGGCTTGCTCAGAGTCTAGAAATCGAGTAAAGAGGAGGCTAGACTCAAGTTGTCTGGAGAGTGTGAAACAGAAGTGTGTGAAGAGTTGCAACTGTGTGACTGAGCTTGATGACCCAGTTGAAAAGCTTCATTTGGATCTGTGCTGCCTTGCCGGTAACCAGGAGGACCTTGGTAAGGACTCTCTAGGCCCTACCAAACCAAGCAAGATAGAAGGAGCTAGTATGAGTATCTCAGAGCCTCCTTCTCCTGCCAGTCCTTATGCTTCAGAAAGCTGTGGGACACTACCTCTTCCTTTGGGATCTTGTGGAGAAGGGTCTGAGGTTGTAGGCAAAGAGAATAGCTCCCCAGAGAATAAAAACTGGTTATTGGCCATGGCAGCCAAACGGAAGGCTGAGAATTCATCTCCGCGAAGTCCATCCTCCCAGACCCCCAATTCCAGGAGACAGAGCGGAAAGACTTCTCCAGGCCCGGTAAGTTGGAAGTGGTGGGAAGATGCATTTCCTAACTCAAATGGGGCCAGTGAGAGGATACATTCCCTAACTTGAAGAGGTCAGACACAAATCCCTTCTCAGGAGTCAGGATGCTTTCTTTTTTTTTTTTAAGTAAATCGATTTATACCTAGAGTTGCCAAATTTAGCACATAAAAATTCAGGACAAATATTGCATGGGACATATTTATACTAAAAATTCCTTATACCAAAAAGTTATTTGTTTGAAATTCAAATGTAACTGGATATTGCTGTATTTTATTATCTAGCAGCCCTATTTATTCCCATTAAATGCCTTCTGTCAAGGTCCAGGGGTGCCTGAGTGGCTCAGTCCATTAAGCTTCTGACTCTTGATTGCGGCTCACGTCTTGATCCCAGGGTTGTGAAATCCAACCCTCCTGGCTCCCAGCTGAGCAGGGAGTCTACTTCTCTCCCTCTGCCCTACCCTCCCTCCCCCACTCGCCTGGAGGGTGGGTGCTCTCACTCTCTCTCCCTCTCTTTCAAATAAATTAATTAATTAAAAAAAAAAAAAAACCTCCTGTCAAGGTCCATAGCCCTCAGCCCTCTTGCTTGATTCCTCAAAGCCTTCATCATCCTCTAGTATATCAATTCAAAGGTATCTTCCCTCTACTTTGTTTGATATTATTCCCTCCCCACTCCACCCCCACCTTTTCTTTTTATTTTCTCCACCACGCCCCCCAGCCACCACTTTTTATAGATTCCCTCCCCTTTTTATGGATAAAGCTGACATTCGTGGGCAAGTTGCCAACATCCATAAATAGATTTCCAGTTTGTAATTACAGTTTGATTATTTAAAATACGGTGAAACTTAGATACTTACAAAGCAATTTAAATGAAGAATCCTTCCAGATTTTTATGATTTTCTCCAATCTTTTTTACAGTCATCTTGCTCACACCAGTATTTTTGGCAATTCACCTATTACCTATACTCTTAAAACATTCAGCTTAGTTTCACTTACCTTTTTAGGACTCATTTCATTGACTAGCATAAATTTAAGTTAAATAATTTCAAAAACAAGTACTGCTGGCAGAAAATAGGTTTGTGAAGTTGGGAAAGGAAGTGACTCATTACTAATGGAGGAGGAAGTAGCTATGAGCGTTGGGTGAGTATGAGCACCAGTCAGAACTAAAAAGCTTCAGGTAATCAGCTTGCAAGTTAAGGTGGGATGGGTTAAGGAAGGTTCTGCTGTGCTTCATAGTAGCTCTTGCTCTGTGTTAAGGAGAAGGTGGTAGAATGATTAAAATCCACTCCAAGAATCTAAAAGGCAGAAACTGGATAACCTCAGGCCAGCTCTAGTTTAATAAGTGTTCATATCCCCCTCCTACTGTCATGAAGCCTATCCCATAATCAGAGGGAAAATAAACTAGAAATATTTTAAAGATTATTTCAAACACAAGCTCCAACCAAGACCTTGCTACAGAACATGAAAAAAAAAATCAGCTATCATATAGGAATTATATTTTCACTGTATCTGTTTTTTGCCCCTAACCAAAATTTTTTTTTTCACCAGAGGAACTGGTCTCAGCTGTGTGTTAGCAGAAAAATAATTTCAATGAAAAATTGTTTTCACTACTGTGTGAATTTTAAAGGCTTTTAAAAATAGTGTGCTGGTCCCATATATTTCTGGTTTTATAATTTCAGTCTTTGAAGCTAAAGTTTCTTTAAAAGAATTTTCTGCTTTATGTGCATGATGATAATGTAGATTCTTTCAGAAGAGGGTAGCGGCTGCCATTTGAATCGCTATCCCATTTGTAAATTTGGGAGGGTGATTTACTCATTTGTTTCAAGAAGAAGGGTTATTTTAACCTTTCGTTCCTACTAGGAGGTTTAACTGGTAAATATTTTCTGTTCACGTGAAAAATCTATCCCTTCCATTCTTGCATACTGTCTGTTCAATTTCTATTAAATTCAGTACAAATCAGCCAAAAGACACATTGCCATCAAAATATTTGGGACTGAAAGCTGACTGACTAAATTTCTAGGCATTGCAATTTAAAATACCCTTTAGTGCTAACTTGCTGAAGTTAAGAGCTGAACTTTATCTTGAAATCTAAACTTTCTTTTTCTAGGTCACTATTACTCCCAGCTCCATGAGGAAAATCTGTACATACTTCCATAGAAAATCCCAAGATGACTACTGCAGTCCTGAACAATCAACAGAATTATAGATTCTAATCTGAGTGAGTTAACTGAACTTTGGCCCATTAAAACAAGACAAAAAATACAACAGAGTGATTCTATAACTCTAATCCTTAAGAAAGCTACCGTTTTTTTCATTTTCAGAGAAAATCCTTTCAACTCTGAAGTTTACCTGCTCTGGTTCTACTACCATAGCTTATATGCAGCTTCCTTGGGATGAATGCTGTGTTTAATTCCATAAAGTAAGTTTATCGCTCTGTAACTTTTTGAATGAGTAGTCTTTACTTTTTAAGTTATGCCTCTTCTCTACAATAATGACATCCCACCTCATAGAGGCAAAAAGCAAGACTTGTCTCTTGTTACTCTGAGACTGTGGTGCACAGTGGAAAATATCTGCTGGTCATGGCAGGAGGCCTGTCTGTGAAGGCTGGTTGCTGAAGAAGTCTTCTGCTGGAGACCTCTGGATCTGTGCTGCCTCAAACAAACATAATTTCATTTAAAATTTATATAATCTTTTCACTACACTTTTGGGAGTTTTTTTGTTTTTTTAGTATGTGTAAAAATGTGATGTTCAGATAAGTACATTTATCTTGATTCAGTGTTCAGTGTTAAAATACAGTCTCTTAAGTTAAAATCATCTTTTTTTTAAGAGCTGTGATAAATGTCAGCTCTTTGGAGAAACTAGGAGAACAACACTAGAAACCTTTACTTGTCTTTTTTCCCCCAAATATATCTCCCATATGAGACTTTAAGGTCCTTCTATTTTTACTAAGCGATTTACTATGGTACCAATCCAACATCATGGTCTCTAAGAGGTTATAATTTTTGCCATTTACTAGACAAAGATATTTATAAAATCAATAGTCATACATTAAAGTTGGGGTTTGAATTCAACTTGAATTCTGTTCTCTAGGGGCTGCAGTTTTTTTAAAAATATAAGTCATCAATTTAAGAAAAAGTAATGATTTTTTACTGGTACTTTTATTAAAAGAACATAGCTCTGAACTGAAAATCCAGAACCTAAAAAACAATTTTTGGCTTTAACTTGAATTTTTGGATTCTCTTCATATACATAAAAAACAGTAACCCTCTAGTATAGCCCTGAGCTGAAAAGTCATGGAAATTTCTCTAAATATTTAATATAGAAGGTGTTTAGATTGATTCTAAGTTAATAATGTGCAGAATATTTTGAACATCTTCCCTTTAATCAGCAATTACATATCAATCATCTTGAACTGTTGTTTTCTGTTTTTCGCCTTTATAACCTCAGAGACACAAACTCCATGTACCTTCTATGTACTGTGTCCTTGGAAGGGGATCCCCTAACAATCATGACACTTGGTTCATTTTATCCATATCCCTAAGAAATATGTAGATTTTATTCATATTTTTGTCAAAATTTAAAAATCTGTTCTTAATGACAAATTTTAATTCCTTTGATTCCTGTAAGTTAAGCTTGTACCAACCAGAACTACGTATGTGAATTAAACATGGCTTCTCCGTGGTTTTATGCAAAGAGAAAAATAAAGAGAAGCCTCAGAATTGCTGTTTTTGAAACAAAGCACTCCATAGAATTAACTGAATATTTAGAAACTCTACTTATAATTAGTGTTTGATTTTTTAATGTTAGGTTATGGAAAGGTGTTATTTATGACCATATCTGCTAATAATGCTACCTATCTCTTGCTTTGAAAGCCAGTGGGGGTGGGGGTAGGATAACTAAAGTAGATGATTATATTCTTTGTATCCTTGAACATCTCCTAACAGCTCTACCGAGTAAAATTGGGGTAAATGTGGCTGACAGAAACTGTGCTGAGAGTCTCCTGGCTGTAACACGTCCCACTTGGAAAACTAGTACTTCAAATGGGTACCAAAGGTCAAATGTAATAAGATAATAATTATTCCTGCCTCTGTCAGCGTCAGACTTTGAGCTGGTCCTGAATAATAAAGCCTTTTACCTTATCTGATATCCTTTTCTGAGCTTTTTGCATTAACCTAGAAGCAGTCTACACAAAAGAGCTCTAGTAGTAATCAAGAATCCCTTCTACTTGTTCATTGAGTAAAATTTGTTTATTCCCAAGGATATGATCTAGTTCAAGCTGAAAGAGGTTTTAATAAAATACGTCTTGCTTGGTCAGACCTTGAGTGTGTAAGATGGCTTGGATTACTTGATGAAGTAGGGTGGAGTGATGTACTTCTTTTTCTAAACAAGTATTTCCAGCCCAAGCTTTTCCATTTGAATACACTCCAAGCATTATTGCTACAGTGCTGTATTAGTTTCCTTTGGCTGTTTCAACACAGGCCCTTAATTTACTTTTGTGAGGGTTGACTAATTAGTCCTTTAAAATGCTTCCTTTAATCTGGGCTGCACATTTAACTGATGATAAATCAAGACCATCTGTAGCTACCCTGTTGGACTGGCAGAGGGCTAGTTCAGCTCACCACCCCATCTCCTGCCCTAATAGCTTAAAACTTCACTAAGACTTTTGGAACATCCTGTATAGGAATCATTTTTTTAAATCCTCAACTGTGCAATATGGATGCCTGGAGGTAACTTTTTAAAGTGTGTGTGTGTGTGTGTGTGTGTGTGTGTGTGTGTGTGTTGCTTTAACCCCCAGCCTATGGTCATGATCTTGTATAGGTCACATATCAGGGCAAATATGCCTTTTGAGAGCCTATCATAGCAGATAAACTGCTGCTCTCTGGTCTGTTTTTCTGCTTTTCCTAGTCCCAAGAAGGTCTGGACTTTCTTTCACACTGCTCTTAAAGCAAAGGCCAAGTAGTCTCATAGAATCAGTTCCACAACTAGGTAGCATGCACAACATTTTACAGATGTGCATCAGAAGAGAGCCTGAGTGAGAATGTCATGCTGGGGAAACTGAGTTGTCCTCCTTATGGCAATTAAAGGGATGAATGTAGGCCCAGTGAGCTCTTGCTCATCAAGTCTCACTACTTCTCAACAGGTCTTCATAGGAGATTCTTTGGCTGCCCCAGGTTTGGATCAAGCCACATCATGAAATAACCAGTCATTAAATTCTTGGGAATTATGGAAAACCCTGCTTTATGCATTAGCTATTTAGATACTGGTTGAAAGTTATAGGGAGGCCAAACACTACATTGGACGTGAGGTGAGTCTAATGCTTCATTAGATTTGATGCTAGGAATACAAGCCCAGCTTGTTATAAGGGATCCATTTTGTTGTCTAAAGTGGTAGAAAAACCTGTTTTATTTCTGAGCTATGTTTGAGTGCCTGCTAAAAAACACGAGGGTCGTTAGGGAATGATGTAGGGTAGAGTCAGCCTTTTCAAAAAATCACCTGAGCATATTAAGCAGCTTGTTCAGATCTGTAGGCTTACAGCAAGTACATAGTATACAAATAAGTATTATATTATTAAAGAATAGGCTTGTTCGATCCCCAGCACTTATCCCTCCCATTTCCTGGCTAAGCCAAGAAAGAGGATTTCAAGGATATATAACCAGGTTCTTTATTTTAAATTTCAAAGGTTTAGTATTCCGTTTATACTTCATTTCTCTTTAATTTCCTTAACTTGCCACATGCCCCTTCCTGTTTTGACATTCTAAATAATTTGTATTCAAGCCATTTTGTGGACTGTGAATAGCACATTTCAAAATGTCTTTGATTGGAAGGTTTTCAATTCAGTCAGCATTTTATTCATCACCTGGGTGCCAAGCCCTGTGTGAGGCACCTGGACTGGAGAGTTCTCTTTATTTTTTTGTTGTCAGAGGAGTTACTTTATCTATGGCATGTCAATGGGTAAAGTCGGCATTTGAGAGAAACAGGCAAAGATCAGATTTTCAAGTCCTTTGAGTCAAGTTGTTTGTGAGCAGCTATTAAGGTAGCAAGTGCTGTCTAGATGCAATGCAGACTCTTCCCTCCAGGAACTTCTTTCAGCAGCTGCTTAGAGCACCTGAACTTTTCAAAGTAAAATGCTTTTCTCATGCATGCTTTTATTATGTTCTTTACAATATTATGAATAATAGTCAAAAGCATGATCTCTGTAGCCAAACTGCCTAGCTTTGAATCCAAGCCCTAGCTGTGTGACCTTGGGCAAGTTCCTTAACCTCTCTGTGAATCAGTTTTCTCGTTTATAAAATGGGATTGTGTGGTTATCACACAAATATAGCTCTTAGGACAGTGCCTGGCACACAATAGCTAACGTTTATTGAACAATTACTGTTAGCTATTAGTCTCAAGATCGGGAGAGAAGGGATTCTATCCTTATTTGATAAACGGGCATAAAGGTTTAACTTTTCAGTTCTAACTCATTCCTGTTCATTCCCATTCCACTAGAACCATGGTCCTCAAAGGTATGGGAACTAAATAAAAATCACCTGAGAAGCTTTTTTTTTTTTCCAATGTTGCCTAAGTCTCCCATTCCTAGTGCTTTTCAAAAGGAGCAAGTAGACCTCTAGAAAAACAAAACGAAAACAAAAGCAACTCCAGTTCTGCAGGTGTTTGAGATTCATGATTCCTACCTACCAAGTACACATTAAAATTACAGAGGTTATTTCATATGTGGTCTCAGCCAGTGTTCAAAGAGGTTATAATTTGCAAATCTGTACCCTGGACTCCTAAGCAAGCCAAAGCATTTGCTCTCACAGAGCTCACCCTCCCATTTTCTGACCTCTGCCCCCAGCTCTGCTACATTGTTTAGCATGTGTTCACCTTTGGGGAGGAAGCTGCAGCTGGCTGGCCATTAGTGCCAATTCTTGATCACTTGTTAGACTATTGTGTTCCATGGCCAGTGAGTAGGCACATAAGAGATGAAGCTCAAAGCAGGCCATGTTGCTCTCTTAGTAGCTCTGATTTTGTAGGATGCAAGATTCAAACATTTGGTTGAGGAGTAATGTGTAGACTCTAGGTTCTTTTTTCTCACTTAATGAGATTCTTCCCTGGGCTTCTTTTTGATGCCAGTAATACCTGTTGCCAGTGTCACATCAGTGCCAAAATACCAGCCATGGAGGTTTCTTTGACATTATGGTGGACAAACCCAACACTGGGGTTTCACTTAGCATCTGAGCACCAAATTATGCTGCCACTGCTACTGTTCAAGACCCTGGTTTCCAGATTTCCAGGAACTTACAAAATGTGGCATTCTCGATTAGGAGCTGGCATCTACACCTCTGCAAACAGATAGTCCCCCCATGCTCAGCCCCCTTCGTGGGTTGGTGCCAAAACTATCAATTCAAATGAAGATGTCAAGGGCTGCTTTTTGTTTTCCTGTTATCAGCCTACTCACTTTCCAAGTCATAGTGTAAAAGTACAATAATTATACAAATCAGCCCTTCCCCCAGCAATATACTACCAGATAATATATGTTAACTCAAACAGTAAGCTATAAATAAATCATCTGGCCTTGCTATGTTGACATGAAGTTAACAAATATTGTCACACCACATCATTCAATAATCGTTCAGAACCATTCTTCCCCTTTTTAATTTCTCTTCCACCTTTTTTCCATAACCTACCATGCACTCACAATTTTCCACGAATTATTTAATAAAAAGCATAATAGAGTTTATTAAGTGTAACTGTGAAATAACAGTGGTACAGGAACTGAAATAATTAAAATTAAAATCCAGTAGGCATTGTTGTCTCTGTAATGGGTCATTATTTGGCCCACCAGTTAATGTCAAGTTGGAAACGCTACTTCCTCAAAAGCCTTATTGAATT